GCCAGTCCTACCACCTGGCTGGACTAGGGACCATATTTTTCAGACTATAAAATGCACTGTCCCCTGATTTGGGAGGGAAATGGGGGTGTGTCTTACAGTCCGAATGTAGCGTGCCCAGCTTTGGGAAGGTGGGGGCAGCAGCAGTGGTGCGGGGTCACAGGTTATTAAATATTTTACCATATTTTTTGCTTCAAAATTTTTTCCCCTATTTTCTTCCTCTAAAACCTAGATGCGTCTTATGGTCCAATGTATCTTATAGTCCTAAAAATATGGTAAATCCCTCCCATTGATTGGCTGACAGCAATCAAGACTTATCTACAAGAGGAGGGAGTACTCAACCTACACAGTGGGTGCAACTCCAGTACCCAGCTTGGGTGACAGTGGGGAGGCTGTGCCACTGGAGCCTACAGGACACCTAGTATGTGAGGCTGTGCTACCAAGACAGGGAGTCATAGCAGCTCTACCTGATACATAGAAACAAACACAGAGATGCTGACAAAATGAGACAAAGGAACATGGCCCAAATGAAAGAACAGATCAAAACTCCAGAAAAAGAACTAAACAAAATGGAGATAAACAATCTATCAGATGCAGAGTTCAAAACACTGGTTATAAGGATGCTCAAGGAACTCACAGGGTACTTCAAAAGCATAAAAATTATCCAATCAGAAATGAAAGAGATGCTAATTGACATAAAGAACAATTTACAGGGAATCAACAGTGGAGTGGATGAAGCTGAGAATCAAATCAATGATTGGGAAAATAAGGAAGAAAAAAAAACATCCAATCAGTACAGCAAGAAAAAAGAATCCAAAAAATCAAGGATAGTGTAAGCAGTCTCTGGGACAACTTCAAGTGTCCCAACATTCACATCATAGGGGTGCCAGGGGAAGAGAAAGAGCAAGAAACTGGAAACCTATTTGAAAAAAAATGATGAAAGAAAACTTCCCTAATTTGGTGAAGGAGATAGACATACAAGTCCAGGAAGCACAGAGTCTTAAACAAGCTGGACCCAAAGAGGACCACACCAAGATACATCAAAATTAAAATGCCAAAGGTTAAAGAGAATCTTAAAAGCAGCAAGAGAAAAGCAGATAATTACCTACAAAGAAGTTCCTATAAGACTGTCAGCTGATTTCTCAAAAGAAACCGCAGGCTAGAAGGGACTGGGAAGAAGTATTTGAAGGGATGAAAAGCAACAACCTACAACCTAAATTACTCTATCCAGTAAAGCTATCATTTAGAATGGAAGGGCAGATAAAGTGTTTCCCAGACAAGAAAAAACTAAAGGAGTTCATCATCACCAAGCCATTATTATATGAAATGTTAAAGGGACTTATCTAAGAAAAAGATGAAAACAATGAACATTAAAATGGCAATAAATATATAACTATCAACAATTGAATCTAAAAAACAAACTAAGCAAACAAGCAGAAGAGAAACAGAATCATTAATATGGAGAACATTGGGATGGTGCCCAGAGGGGCGGGGGATCTGGAGGAATGGGGGAAAAGGTGAAGGGATTAAGAAGTACAAATCAGTAGTTACAGAACAGGCAGGGGAATGTTGAGCAAGTATAGGAAATGGAGTTGCCAAAGAACTTATATGCATGACCCATGGACATGAACAAAGGAGGGGGAATCACGGAATGGGGGGGTGTTTGTTGGAGGGGGCAAAAGGGGAACAATTAGGACAACTGTAATACTATAATCGATAAAAATTCAACTGACTTCTGAATATTAATTTTGTGTCCTGCTACTTTACTGAATTAGTTTTTCAGAGGGGTCTGTTCTATACATAAATCATGTCATCGGCAAACAGTGAGTTTTACTTCTTCCTTCCCAATTTGGAAGTCTTTTACGCATTTATTTATTCGTCTGATTTCTGTGGCTAGCGCATCCAACACGATGTTGATTAGAAGTGGTAATAGTGGGCACCCGTGGCTTGTTCCTGATCCTAGAAAATATTTGTTTTTCACCATTGAGTATGATAGTAGCTTTGTTTGTTATATACAGCCTTTATTCTGTTGAGGTGTGTTCCTTTCATACCTAATTTGTTGTTTTTAACACAAAAGGATGTTGAATTATGTCACATGCTTTTTCTGCAAAAATTAAGATCAGAGGTGTCCAATGTTTTTGCATTTCTGGGCCATACTGGAAGAGTTATCTTGGACTACACATTAAATACACTGCAACATGTAATCACACACAAAAAAACCTCAATGCTTTTTAAGTAAATTTACGATTTTGTGTTGGATTGCATTCATGGCCATCCTGAGCCGCATGTGGCCTGCGGGCCACAGGCTGAACACCCCTGATGATTATGATTTCTAGCCGTGATTTTGTTGATGTATGTTAGTTGATTTACATCGGATGTTGAACCATCCTTTGTCCCTGGAACAAATTCTACTTAAGTCATGGTGTATAATCCTTTTAATGTATTGTTAAAATACTTGCTAATATTTTGTTGAGAAACTATGTATTTATGTTCATCAAGAATATTGGCCAATGTTTGTGTGCTTTATGTTGTTCCAGTGTTTCCTTAAATTACCCTTTTTTGAAAAAAAAATTTTTTTGCTGTTTTGAGTTCTAATAGTCTGCCTTTTAGGTCACTGATCCGTTCATCTGTATTAGCTCATCTGCTGTTCATTCTTTTGAGTATTTTTCATTTCAGTTACTGTATTCTTCAGGTCTGCTTGGTTTTTTATTATATTCTTTGTTGAAGTCCTCCCTAAATTCCTCTATTCTACTTTCAAGTTTGGTGAGATTATTTAAGTCCTAATCAGGCAAATTACTTATTTCCATTTCACTAGGGCTTCCCCTTGCTTATGTCCCAGAGATTTTTCCTGTTTTTTTTTTTTTACTTGAGAAATATTCTAGCATCTTTTTGTTTGACTTCCTATGTTTATTTGTATGAATCACATAAAATAGCTATCTTTCCCAGTCTTGAAAAAACTGGCTTTGTGTAGAAGCAACCTCTGTATGGACTGCATATGCCAGTAGTTCTGGCAGGCCCACTGGTGCCAAGTGAGTACCTATGGCACCTGGTGCACTTGCTTGCTGGGCTGGAGCAACTCCAGGTGGCAAGGTCCAATGCATGTAATACTGCCCTATTGATCCTACTTGATCCCTTTGTTCAGAGACAGAATGGGTTCTGGGTGATGTGGCTGGGATGCACTGGGGTGGTCTTGCAGGGCCAGAGCACCTGGAGACAGCTCCTGCTCACTCTGCTGAAGTAGAGGGGAATGTGAACAATGGTGCTCAACACTTCAGATAGTGGAGAATTCCCAAAGATCCTGGAGAACCCTGCAGCTTCCCAGTCTTCTCTATAAGGTCTTTCATTTGTCGTGAAGAAAGTGGTCTTGTGTAGAAGCAATGTCTGTGCCGGCTGTGTGCCAGGTACTTATGACAGGCTGGTTAGAGCCAGGCAGGTGCTTACTGGCACCTGGGGTGCTGGCTTGTCCAGCTGCAGCACCTCGGGGCAGGGAGGACAGGTGCATGTGGTAACACCCTGTGGATCCTACTTGCTCCCTTTTTGAGGCCAAAATGGGCTCTGGGCAGTGTTGCTGTCCCACAGCTACCCTGCAGGCAGACCAGAGCACCTGGATAGAGCTCCTGCTTGCTCTACCAAGGTGGGGGAAGACGTAACAATGACACCCAGCAGCTCCTCCAATCCCAGAGAGCTCCTGCAGTTGCCTAGCCTTCTCTATTTGGTCTCTTTCTTCACTTGTTGCTCAGAAGGTAATCAACCAGCTTTCAGTGGTCTCTCAGGGGAAATGACTCTATGTATAGGTGTACAATTCAGTGTGCTTATGAGAAGGAGCAAGTTCAGTGTCCTCCTATACCACCACCATCTAGTACCTAAGTCCCAGCTGTCACTCTTAAATGAGAATCAACTTCTGTTACTCCTTAAAATTTTCCACTTGGGCCTCACAGCCTTCGAATAAAATCCAGACTCCTTAGCAGGACCCCAACCTCATTACTGAATAGGTTTTCCTCCGTATTCCTATATCCAACAGTCCATTCCCATCCCCTACACCCCTTCTTGGCAAAGCCATTGCTCCTCTGCCTGGGAAATCCTTTCAGGCCCTTTTTGCTTGGTAAAATCCTATTCATCTTTTTTAAAAAACTGCCTGGCTTCCTCCACACCTACCCTCATTAGAGCTCTCAGAGGACCCTGTGCTTATTTGTCACTGCACTCGCAATGATGTTATGCTTTTATTTTACTGGCTGGTCTTTTCCACTGGATCATGAGAACAGTGACAAATTCTAGGCTACCATTATATCCTCCAGTGGCTGGGTCAGAGTTCTGACCATAATAGACACACAGTAAATGTTTTAATGAACAGTAATATAGCCCTCTATAAATCTCACTTTCTTTCAATAGGATAGTATCTAATCTAAAACCTTTCTAAAATTGGATAGATGTCTTCCCTCTCTGACCACATTTATAGCCAGAATGAGACTTTGAAAGAGTAACATCTGGGCCATGTCCTTGATAACATTTCAGGACGTTGGTAGCTAAATGCATCGTTTGTGACATCAGGAAGGAAGCCACTGTCTGTAGAGCACCTATGTGCCGCCTCTGTGTACTGAATTTGTGCTGTACACACAGTACTTCAGCCCTGGCAATCCGCGGTAACTCTTTTTAGCTCTTTTCTGGTAAAGAACCTGAGGCTCAGGAATTTGCCCAAGGTCACACAGCTAGCAAATAATGAAGCCAAACTAATACAATGTGCAAAATCAGGACTAGATTTTCTTCTAAATGAACTAAAAAATGAGTTGGCTGGAACTAAGATTTCCCACAGGGCTAAAAAAATGATGAAGGCAGCAAATAACTTGTCTATCTCAGACTATGGGTATGCAATTTTAACAATATAAACTGAAAACCAGCCTTGTTCCTGTTCAGTTTAAATAACTGAACACACTGCTGCCATCCTGTCAAATAACAGACTCATCAGACATTCAGTTTGAAGAACTATTTTAAAACAACTCCTCAAATTTATTTAACTCATGGGGTAACATGGTAGTTTTGGATAAAAAGAAAAAAAGGCCACCACTTACTAACGAAATCTCGTAGGCAGCTCAGAGCTGCGGCAGCACACCGGGCGTGGTGACTGCAGGACTGCTGTCCCCAGGTTTGTACCCCCCTTCCAACCAGCCCTGGAGGCCTCCACTTCAAAATTCAGTCTACTAGAGATCTCAGCATAATTAAAAAAAAAAAAAGACTGAGTTGATTTTTCTTTTTTTTCATTTGCATTTGTATTTTTTGTCACTGCAAGCAATGAGAAAAATAACCATTTAAAAGGGATTCCTCTCCAGAAATTTTTGTAAAGGTTTAAGTCGAGGCTTTTAGATTTTTCTCCATCCTTTTAGATCTAAAAAAGAAAGGGGGTTGGAACATGTCAACCTTTACTCGGCTTGCTACACAAGCCTCTGCCTTTACAAGTCCGAGAAGTAATGCCAAACCTCTGGGCTTAATCAAGGCCATGGGGTGTCTGGCGAGAGAGCCTGAGGTGACAGCCGCTCAAGACGCTGCTCTTCATCTCAGGTCCATTATAACACGCACTTGAACAGCACATGGCAGGCTGTGTCACTCAGGACGTATACCAGGCTGAGATGGAAAGAAGTCAGGCATCCCTGGTCTGTTTGCCGTGAATCACACCAGCAGCCAAGCCCGTGTTCCTGTCCCAGAGCTCACTGTGCAGGTCACTGCCACTCCACCTCCGTCCATTGAGCCCACTGTCCAGGCACAATGGAAGTCGCTTAAAAGCTATCACTGGAGTGCATGATTTTCCTTAAGGAACAAATGAAAATATTTAATAGCAGTTTGGACCTCCTAATAATTCAGTCTCTCTATCTCTTCTTGGGGAGCCTGTACTTTCAGGCAAATGGGAGGTTTAAAAATACAGAGGAGCAACATCTGTATTGTAAGTGTGTGCTTTTCTCTCTTCCTCATGAACTTCCTGGAAAACTGTTGTTTCTGAACACTCGGTTTCGTTAAGAAGAAATTTTACTTAACTGTTACATGCTGCATGTAGGAAAAGATTTCTTTTCAGCCTTCATTTCATTGTATGGGTTTCACTCTCTGGGTATTGAAGTGGGAAAGGGTGAGAGGGGAGGAGACCAAAATCACAAAGAGCACCACACAGCACACCCGTGTCAGCCACACGACACGCCTTCTAACACTGTCAGCGCTGACTCTCCGTGATTTCTGGTGGAGCCGAACACACCCTTACACTTCTGTTTGTGCTCCGCCTGAGGTCTCCCGAACCGCTAATTGTGAGCTAGAGAGCTTTTGTGGAAGGGGCAGAACACAAGTAGGGAGCTGGCATGTGGCCAGGCATCAGTGCACTTTATAATGGAGGAAAAGATGATTACAGGGAGATTTTTGTTTCAGCCTTTAGTTCACCCAAGATTTCAAAGTTACAGAAAACGGCTTCACGAAGAACTGTGTTAGAGGGGAAGGGATGATAAGGGAGTGGTAAACATATCCAATAAAATTCAGGGATAAAAGAATACCACACGAGTCCACAGAATACAAAGGAATGAGGAGGAATACTCCCAGAGCCATATGCGGATCAGGACACGGGGTAGGTAGGGCGAGGTGGGTTAGCCACTAAATGGCTTCAGTGATAATTCTGAAACCTGTTCCAGTTTTTTTTTTTTGGAGTAAAGTCTTCTGCTGGACAGGTCAAAGACTGTGCTTTAAAAATGTCATTAGAAGGTAACATCTTTTTAAATATTCTTTTGCCTCTTGCTTCCAGGTGATTTCTTTTTGCCTAGAAACCGGTAGTATAAACCTTACAAGACGGAAGAACGGTCCTCTGACATAGGTGAGGCGAGGCGCTGGATGAACTTACACAGTAAGCGAGAGTCTGTACGTCTTGGTCTCCTCCCTGACCATTCCACACCTCCGACCCGACAGAGATGGCGGTTCACTTCCTCGGGAAGAAGCCAGTGATGGACACTTGTCTGTTGGCTTTGCCCCCAGCAGCAGTCCCTTTCTTGGGGCCCTTTCGTTCCTCTTTGGGCTCTTTTTTGACAGTCACTGCTGGGGGTCTGTGTATGGATGATGTCTTCATCTTAGGTTCTTCTTCGCTGTCTGTGCAGGATTCACTCTCGTAGACTTTTTCAGTCACTGGTAAAATAAGGAAAAAATGAAACGTGTGTGGGCTGAGTGATTTAGAAGACTACTCTTGTTCACCCAAGTCCCCTCAGGCCCTCTGTTCAGGGAAGGTGTGCTCATCTTCTACCAGAGCCTTTTCCCGCTGGTAGACCAGATCCAGCCTCAGGTGGGAAGTATGGGGTACCTTGAGCTCACACAGCCTCTAATTGGGACTCAGAATCCACATTCATCCTTATTCCCTCACTGCTATGTCCCGTCCCTTTAAATGGACCTCTATCATTTGACTGCCCGAATCTTGCATTTGGGTCCTGGTCTACAGTAGTTAATTCCTGCGCTCTAATCAGTGCCTGCCTATTTCCACTGCTCATTTTCCTAGTCTTAATCTGTGCTCTATTTACCAGTTTCAACCCCATCTAGCCAGGCTCACCACCACAAACTCCCTGACTAGCTCTATCCTGACGTCACTCACTCTCTGCACATCCCAAGTGCACAGAATTGGAGGTTAGTTACTCAATTGTTTGGTTCTTAATTTTGAATGACTGCTAAATAACCCAAGCTTTACTAGTGATCTACATCGTGAAGATAACTGCCCCCAGCAAACTGTCAGATGACAAACTGGATGGTTTTAAGGATGGACAGTGATACAATGACACACATAGTTACTGATTCTCTCACTCCCTATCAGCCAAAGGCAAATTTTACTTTTTCCCCTGCCAATAAAACTCATTGAAATCTGCCTAATGAAAACTTTGAAAAGCCTTATGCTAGTGAGCAGTCAGCATAAGGAAGCTCCAAAGGGCACAGACATTGGCTCCCACGAGCTACGTCACAGAACTCATTTCATCTAAAATGTCATACAGTGTACCTGGGTGTGATAGTTATGTTACAGAATTACAAGCTTATGATTTTGTAATAAGATTTCTGTAATACAGTAGGGGTGCTATTTCTGCAGGATCCTGTATATTAAGCATTCTCAAAGGTTTTCCTACTCACCTTTGCTCCATAGGCCAGAGGACATGACTCTCCCATGAGCTTACTAGAGATGCAGAATCTCAGGGCCTACCCAAGGCCTACTGAATCAGAATTTGAATTGTAGCAAGATCTTCAAGTAATGCATATATCCTCAGCTAAGTTTGAAAAATGCTGCTCTAGGATATTTAGGGAAGTTCCTTGAAATACCCATTAGTAGTTCAGCAACTGTGATCCATAACACCATCCCCACCATCTTGTCTGCAACTTCAAAAGCATTATATAACTGGATGACTGGGACAAGCTTGTCAGCTGTTAGTTACTCAGCATCTCTGAGTGTGAGGGAGGTCTGAAGAGCCGTCTACAGCCACAGAAAAGAAACAACTCACTACTAATTGGTGGTAGAGACTTGCTCCTTCCTTCATGAGATATATTCTGTGTTCAAATGGCTGCATGACATCAATTAGCTCATTATTTCATTACTTATTAATAAAACCACTGGTTATTTCATCACCAATTTTGTGCAATGCATTGGAGAAGGGGAAAGTTAAACCAGTCAGGGCAGCACCAACAAAATTTCTTAGGCAGCACACTTTGTATACCAGAAGGAGCATTTTCTACATGCAAAGCTGTGGCTACTTCAAACTACAGGACAAAGGACATTTCAGCATAAAAATATAGAATCATTACTTTAGCTGAACAACATACCACTTTTCTGGGATGCCATTTAAAAAGGTTCAGTTTGCCTGGGTAACATCAGGATTCTTTTCCATCAATGGTTTTGCTTTAGGAATCCACCCTGTCTAGAAGTCAACCACCAGCTCAGAGCCCCAAATCCCAGTCTCTGCAGCAAACTCACAGAAAGGAAAAGATCAGCTTTTTAAACCCACAGACCAAGCCTGACCCGGCACAGGACAGGGCAAGACCGCTGTGCCGATGCATCTGGAACAGTGTGAGCAGACAGGAAAGCAGAACTCCTCTGTTGGTAACAGGAGCCAAGATTCATTAGGTTGAGCTTGGATTAAAAACCTTAAAAAAAAACTGCTATGTGAGCACAGTTTTCATTGTTGCATCCAAGGCTCTTAATAGTCCTGTCTGGAGACAGGACTGCAAAAATGCCCCCACACCACACCTGGCCACAGCCTGAGTACTGGGTTTTGAACAAAACAATAGGTGACTAGCCACAAATTCCCAAAGAATTCTCACCAAGATATATTTGACAGTTTTCTTTTGGGGTAGAAGGGAAAAAAACACACATAGCACTGATGCTTCTGTCCTCTTATATTTAAAAGAAAAAAAAAAGAATTTCAACAGAAATTGCATATATTACTTACTACCAACTGTCAAACTAAGATGCTTGAAAATGCACTACTAGAAGACTCAAAGCAAAACAGACTACTACTCAAAGTCCAGAATTCACAGGCTCACAATAAATTTGGCACCGAAAAGACAGAATTTCCACATGTAAGGGAGTTTATTCCCCAATCATATGCTACAAGTAAAGTGTCACAGGCCTTTCCGGAGGAGTGGGAGGGGAAAAATGGGACAAGGCTCACAACTGATAAGACATCTTCACTAGTTTTAACAACCACATTGCTTAGGAAAAACTGGTTCTTCAGTCAGTCAATATTTTTAAGACAAAAGTTTGAACAAGAAAAGGAAAGTCAAGAAAGGGAAAAAAATACTCCTCTAGGACAGCCGTGCTATGGCAGGTGTGGCAGGTGCGACAGGAAAGAAGTAATGACAGTGATGGGCCAATCCGACTAACGAGTGGGCTGAGAGCCAAACCACAACTCTGTCGAACACAGAAACGCAGACCAGCGTCAGGGCTGCCCACCAGGCCTCCAGCCCAACCCCCAAAGGCCCCACGCAATCTGCTTCCACAGTGGAAAAGGTAGAAGCTAAAACATGGCTGAAGAATCAGGCAATGACTCAAAGCCTGAATTCGTTTTTTAAAAATGCTAAGTATATTTTTCTGGTTTTACTGAAATATAATTGAAGTATACCATTGCAGAAGTTTCAGGTGTAGGGCATAATGGTTTGACTTCCATATACAGTAAAATGATAACCGCTGTAGGTTTTATCAGTAGGTAGCGCCCATCATCTCATATAAACATGGGGTTGGCCAGAACAGCTATATGGTTTTTTCCCATAAAATTAAAGATGCATTTTTCATTTTCACAATAACTTTATTGATTTGGATATTTTGAGCACGTCGGCTATCTCCCACTCTTGGCTTCTAGTGGGTAGAGGCCAGGGGTGCTGCTGAACATCTTCCAATGCATAAGATAGCCCCACAGCAAAGAATTATTTGGCCAGGCTGTCAATAATACCAAGAAACTTCATAAACCACTTTTGACACATTCAGTCAGTCACAGCACCTTCACCAAACACTGCACAAATCTACTTTTGTGTTTCAGTTGTGTTTTTACCTTTCTGAAATAAAGCATAATATGCCAAAAAGTGTTGCATATATTCTTCTATCTTCAATATTAAAATGACCGCTCAAAAATACACTAATTTGTAAAGTTTTTTTAATGCATGCTGATATGACAGGTGTCACAATACAACCTAACTTGTTTTGAATGAAGTTAAACACAACTAACCACTATTAGAGCCATCATATGGAAAAAAACTAAAACTTGTTTGCCAACCCAATAAAAAGAGAAAACAAAAATTTTTTTCCTTGTGAAGAGAACTCTTCGGATACATGCTTTCCTTTCATGTATATCATACATCAGTGTTAACCAAGCCACCACACTGTACATACATCCCGAGCACTTAGGTGTCTTGTGACTGGAAGTCTGCGCCTTTGGACCACCGTTTTCCCATCCCCCGCCTCTGGTAACCACAGATCTCATCCCTTTGTGCCTGAGTTGCTTTTTTTTAAGGTTCTACAGGTGTAAATTAGATCATGTAGGACTTGTCACTTTCTCGGACTTAATTTCATTTAGAAAAATTCCCTCAAGGTCCATCCTCGTCACATGCAGCAGAATTTCTTCGTTTTGTTTTGTTTTGTTTTTAATGGCTAAATAATGTTCCATTTTACACACACACACACACACACACACACACACACACACAACTTCTTAATTCATTCACTCATCTGTCGAAAGACACTTTGGTTGTTTCAAAGCCTAAATTCTGCTCCCCTTGAAGCCTCCACTAAAAGCACGTGCTTGTACCCAACTCAGCCTACCCACAGGGAACCCTGAGGAAGCGACGTGGAAGAGTCAGACTCCATGAGAGACAAATGGGACGAATACCAAAAACTCACGACACTCTCTTCCATCTAATCATCAGTAGGGGCTTCTTTCCCACTATTCCTATGTGTAAAGTGACCATTCTAAAAAAGACAAATGTTTGTCAACATCTACAATAACATTTTAAGTTGGTATTATGATTTCCATCTTGAAAGTGTTTTAGATGTATCGCCTCACCTGAATCTTCACCATAACCCCACAAAATGGAAATGCTACCTCCATTCCACAGATCAAGAAACTCCCCACACAAGGTGACATAACTTTTATCCAAGATCTCAAAGCTTATTTTTATAGTGTGTGGTCCAAATAAGAACCAGGTGTTCTAACTTTAGCTGTAGTGGTCTCTACGCTGTGCTACTCAAGTGTGGGCCACAGAAGCAGCAAGGCATCAGCTGGGGGTGAGTCCAAGCACACAGAAGTAGGAGGCACGTCGCTCTATGAAGGTGCCTCTCTACGGGAATAACTCTCTCTGGACTGGGAGCCCCCAGTTTTTCTTACCCATGCAGCCGTCCTCATCCAGAAACATTCTAGATTTCAGCACACGCTTTCGTTTTCTTTTGTTTTCTCCGCCTACGATCTAAAAGATCAGAGGTTACAACATTAAGGCGACTCATAAAACCAGAGAAAAATAAACTTTTAATTTATAACAATCATCCTCCAGTACCCTGTGATGATAAAAACAGCTGAGTGAGGAACTTACATGCCTCCTTTAGGAGGACCAGCCTACCACACAGGTGAGGTGTGCTCAGCGTCTGTGCAGGCTTGCATGTCATGTCAGTGAGAAAGATAACATGTTGAGCAAAAACCTGTGTTCACTCAGCAACATAATTTGGTTGGGCGGTACAGGCACCATGGGTTAAAAAGACCAAGAGGACAAGAACCTCAGTGGAGAAGAGAGGTGAGGGAAGCAGACCACTGCAACGGGGCTGTCCTGCAGGGCGGAGGCAGGTAGGATGGGAGCACACAGGGCGGGGCCCTGGGCCAGACCAGAGATTTCCAAGGCATCTGCCCTTGCTGTAGGTATTTGCTTTCAGCCTTGACACTGCACCATCAAGTCCATCTAATCTAATCTAGTCTCAGACTGACATTGCTTTCCTTTTATTGCCACTGGTCTTTAATCCCATCTGTTCTTTGGCTGATAAAGAAATCAACACAAAATTTAAACGACAGTCTTAATACAATGAATTCAGGAAAAATGATACTTATAAAGGAAAAAGAAATTTGTCAGCACCCATCTTCTCAACTCTATTTCCTGCCCTAACAGATGCAGGCAAGATGCAGCTAAAGATCACTCAAAACTGGGTTCTCAATTTGTTGCCAGCTTTTCTCCTCCAGTTCTTTTCTGGGAGAGTAACTAACATGCGTAAGTTGTTTGTTTTATATCTTTCACACACTGCTCTGACGCAGGCAAGATGTCATTTTGCACAATTCCAAGGGGAACTGGGTAGCAGAATCGGCACCCAGGATCCACCCCAGCCACCTTCCTGAAACTGACCTACAGCTGAAATCTCACTTCAGGAGAGAAGATAGTGAGTGTCCATTCTTATGACCTATAGGAGAGCAGAATGAGACAAGAGCCATCTACTGGCATTTGGGAAGCACACAGCAGAGAACAGATTTAACGGTCGTTTTAGGTCCTTGGGTGAAGAGGAACACACAGAAAGGCAACCATCCCAGTAAAGCTGTACCTTGACAGAAGGAGGCTCTGGTTCAGTCTTCGGTGCTGGGTCAGGAGGGGGAGACGCAGGAGGAGGTGGGGATGGTGACACAGCTTCATAAACTCCAGGAGAATCTGGTATGACTGAAATTATGAAACAGGCTTAGAAAAGAGAGCTATGACAGCATCATCTGGTACATCGCCTTCTCCACTGGCTCTCTAAGTTTCCGCATCCAGCAAAGGACATTTTGTAGGCAGTAATTCATGACAACCAAGGACCCTACAGTTATATATATATCTACACATATATAAAATATACAGCTTATTAACTTTATATAGAGAAAATTAGAGAATTAAGAATTATTAGAGCTAGAATGTGCCATTGAGATAATCTTAACTAAACCCTGTATTTTACAGAGAAGTTAGGACATGAAATTGTTTTATCGGTGCCCACAGATCACCCACCATGGGTCATATTCATCACTTACACTGTTTCTCTTTATTCTCAGACAACCCTAAGAGACACATATTGTTCACAGATTAGAACTGAGTAGCCAGAGGTCCAGAGAGGATAACTTGACAAGGTCAGAGCATGCAGCTGAGGCAGAAGGGTTTACACCTCGGTCGGTCTGCTTCCTCAGCCTCACTACTCCAGCTGTCCCATGCTCCCTCACCATTCGGGACCACACATTTTTTCTGAAGATCAAGTAAGTGGAGATAGTCTAAGACTACACCAAATGTTTTACGGCAGAGTCTTTGTGACTGTGGTCTGAGGATTATGTGCAATCACTCGAGGTGCTTGTCAGACTGAAACTTTCCAGCTGATGTTAAGAGCATAAACTTTGGGGAGTGGGGAAATCATCTTTGGAATGATCATAATTCCAGCTCCAACAACTAAGACCTGCTTAATATGTTGCATGGGAACTATTACTAGCGATGGCCCCACTGCTGAGGCTTGTTTTGCTACACTGAGGACACTTTTAGGAAAGACACATCGCTGTGGGCCTGGTGTCACCAAGAAGAGAACATCACCCGAGTAATCCTGTCATTTCTGCCTAGTTCCATTAACAATGGTCTTCAGGCCCATGAGAGGGAGTGAAAATCCTCAGCTGCCCTATTGCTTAATTACCACAGAGAAACTGCTGGTCAAGGGACTGGGTGGCTGCTTAGCCACACCTGCTCCCTGAATCTCCTGGCTGTATTCAAATTCTTAGCACAAGTCTTGGATCTGAAACCCTCCCAATTGATTAGGTCAGTGTTAAAAATTATGACAGTGGAGGGTTCAAGGCCAAATGACCTAAAGAGGTGAAGCAGAACAAGAGCCAGGACAAAACAATAAATTATACATTCCAAGTATGAAATGGGCCCCAAACCTTGTGAGCCCTGGGCCACAAGAGACAGACACGTGATGAGAGAGTGGTCCATCCATTAACCCAGCTCTGGGAGGCCAGACCCTGACGGGTGCTCGAGCAAGCAAAAGTTAAACCACAGAACCAAGCACCCAATTTTCTCCTGAGAGTATAGCTATTAAAAAAGCTGTGTCATAATCGTGTTACAGTGGAAGGGGGAAAGTTTATACAGTGAGGAAGCCAAAGAAAAGGAATTCTGAGTGCTCACAGTAATAAACTTAGGAGTACTTCCTCTACTTTCAGTTCTGTAACCACTTACGCAAGGAAAACACCATCTCAGCGGTGCCCTCTGAGACCCTTCCCCCTGCCTGTATGGAACTGTTTCTCATCCAGACCCCCCTCTGGACTCTGAGCTCCAGAAGCAGAGGTGCCATGGTTTCCTTGGTATTGAGCACACAGTAATAATTTTTTTTAAATAAAGGGAAAAATCATTTTCTGAACTAAATTTGGGATGAGGGGTTCTTGGTCAAGAAAGATTTAGCATATACCTTCCTGTCTACCCTCCCCCTGCCCAGAGAGAAACATTATAATGATAAAATAATGAAATGTCCTGGCTGGTGTAGCTCAGTGGATTGAGCTCAGGCTGCGAACCAAAGTGTCGCAGGTTCGATTCCCAGTCAGGGTACATGCCTGGGTTGCAGGCCACAACCCCCAGCAACCGCACATTGATGTTTCTCTCTCTCTATCTCCCTCCCTTCCCTCTCTAAAAATAAATAAATAAAATCTTTAAAAAAAATAATGAAATGTTGTAAATCCCTTCCCCCCATACCAAGGAAGAGAGCAGAAGAAGAGCAAAGGGCTCTTAATGACTAAGAAATTTCAACCAATCCCTAGGACGGAAGGCAAATGGAGAAAGTTGACAAGAAGCATCAGTCAGAAAAGTGAGATAGGAGAGGTCACTATCTATTATAAAACTCGTTTTATCTGATTTTGAAATTGTACATAGGTACTACTTTGCTTAAAATGTTTTAAAAAATGAAATGTTTTAAGAAAGAATAGAGAAAACAACTAGTTTTCTAGGCTTTACAAACATTAATCATTCATGCTCATAACAATCCCACAAAGTCATTATTACTGTCACTACTACTACTGTTTTAAACAACTGAGGTTCATTCAGAGAGATTTAAAAAAAAACAAAAAACTTGCCCCCATTCACATGCTAGAATCCATGTCTGTCTGACTGAGTCTTTCTCATCAAGCTACACATCGCCCCTCAGAACACTGTCAGTGACGTGAACGCATGGAGCGCTAGGTGCACTGGTGTCAGTGAAATACAGGGCAGGGTAAAAGCAGCTTTTCAGTTGTTTGTATGGGAAATAATACAATAATAAATAAGTAATACAAGAATAAACTTTGTGTTTTCTGTACTCACAACTGTAAACCTACTTTTGCCCCACCTGTATATCTGTAACAAATTTGCAGTTCCACAGATGTCAATCACTCAGGTAGTGAAACATCACTTAGCCCAGGAAGCAGAATAACACCACTGTGGTAAAACTAACTTCGGGGATCCAGCAAGGTAACTACTGTTTATCAGAACTTTCTGGCAGAGACTGGTAAATAGAATTCCTGGAAATCATTCCTAGCATCCCAGGAAACTTTTTTGCTACCTATCCTAACCTTCGTAAGGAGTCATTTGCTTAAATTCTGCATAAGCAGTCTGCAAGGACTGAAAATGTTAACAAAGACTTAAATATATTGGTTAAACTATTTCTTCCTAGCAATGTAGACAGTTCTTAATGTTACTTCTTTTGGGGTCCAGCCCTGTCTTGCTTTACAAAGAGAGTATATAGAATTGCTAAAGGCGCTTATGACTCTCAGGGAGGGGAGAAAGGAACAGTGTCCTCAGCACAGAGTTAAGGACACGAAGGTGATGGGAATTTCCTGAGAGAAGGTACTGCGAATGTACTTACTACTGTTACTGACTGAACAACTCGACAGGAAGAGTGGGGGGACAGTAATAAAAGCCAGTCTCTGTCCAGTGCTGTCCTGGCACTTGGGATACATCATCTTATTCGATGTTCATAAAAAGCCTACACAGTTTCTAGTGACATCCTCATTTTAGGCATGAGAAAATGAGGAACTGAAGAAGTTAAGTAATCTGTCTAACGGGTCACACAGTAAGTGCTGGAGGTAAGATTTAAACTCACTCTGCCTGACCCCAAAGTCCCCGCCATTTCCTCCACTCCTGATGCTCATCTGCTAACTGTAAGCTTACGACGACATACTAAACTAATAGCACATATTCGGCATAACAGAAATAAAACAATATGTTAGAGACTGTAGAAAGGTTTAAAATAAAATCCCACTGGCTTCGAGACAAAGAAATTTAGGAGTAAAATGGCCAAGGTTTATAAATTTAGTCATATGCCAAAAGTTATCTTTGCCAGAGAAAAAATCTGAGAGCCTCTGCTCTATATCATCTGGTGCTATAAGCTGTCCGTCTCTTGTCACATTTCTGTTCGCTCCTTTCCAAACTAAATAAGCCCACTCACATTTCCAATCACCCATGGGTATGACTTTTGTGGGCTAAGGGTCAGAATTTCAGAGAGTATTTCAAAAGTATGCAATGAGCGTTCGGTCAACCACAGTAACTCCCTGGAGCAGAGCTGCCTCCTTCACTGACAACAGCAGGGCGGCTAGTCTCCCCTTCTAATGCACATCAGGCTCACGGCTTCAAAGACTTTTCCAGAACCTTCCCCAAGTTCTTTTCCTGGTTGGATATAGGTGGGACTGTTCCAATTAACACATTCCTAAGTTATTTTCCCATGAGTCTGCATAGAGTTGCTTCCATTTCTCAACTCTTAACTGGTCAGAATGTTCCTTGATGGTTGTTTCATCAACACACTTGGGAATTTTCTTTTGAAAAATAGGTACAGGACTTGAACAGACACTTCTCCAAGAAGGACACACAGATGGCCAACATAGGAAAAGATGCTCAACATCATTAATCATCTGAGAAATGCAAATTAAAACCACAACAAGACAGCACCTCGACACCTGTCAGAATGGCCATCATCAATCAACAAACTTGCCCTGCTGGTGGGAATGCAGACTGGTGCAGCCACTGGGGAAAACAGTAGGGAGGTTCTTCAAAAAATTAAAAATGGGTCTGCCTTATGACCCAGCAATTCCACTCTGGGTATATATTCAGAGAAACCCAAAATATTACTAATTTGAAAGAATATGTGCACCCCTATAAGCAACGCAAGTGCTCATCAATAGATGAGTGGATAAAAAAGGTTGTCATACATCTATACAGTGGAATATTACTTGGCCATAAAAAAGAAATCTTAACATTTGCAACAGCATGGATGGACCTGGAGGGCATTATGCTAAGTGAAATAAGTCAGACAAAGAAAGACAAATGCCATGTGACTTCACTTATATGTGGAATCTAAAGAGCAAAATAAATGAACAAACAAAACTGAAATAGCTGGGAGGGCAGGTGGGGGTGGGGCTGGGTGAAAAAGGTGAAGGGATTGGTAACTACAAATCGGCAGTCACAAAACAGCCCTGGGGATGTGCAGTACAGCCCAGGGAATAGAGGCAATAGGGTAGGAACTATGCACGGTGCCGGGTGGGGACTTGAAACATCAGGGGAACACGCTGTGAAGTGTGGTGCTATCTGACCACTACGCTGTACATCTGAAACTAATACTAACTGATACTGAATGTAAACTAATTGAAAAACAAAATTTAAAAAATTAAATAAAAGGCCTTTGATGATATGTTAATAATCCTTATCTTCTTTCTCTTTGTGTGTTATTTTGGCAAATTACAAGAAAATTACAGTTCTGGTCAAAAGGCTAAAGCAGATTTTAAACAGAAACAGGTGCTATATGTGTCTCAATGCTAGGACTACTAGTGTTGTGACCCATAATAAATCACTAATTAGCTCTTTGAGCATCATAGTAAGAAATGACCCCTGCGGTAGACTGAATGTTTATGTTTCCCCCAAATTCGTATGTTGAAGCCCCAGTCCCTAATGTGATGGTACTTTGAAGAGAGGGTTTGGGGAAGTAATTGAGTTATGAGAGTAGAACCCTCGTGGATGAGATTAGTGCCTTTATTAATGAGACATGAGAAAGGAGATTTCTCTTCCTGCCACATGAGGACAGAGCAAAACCAGGTGTCCTGCAAACCAGGAAGGGAGCTCTGCCCGAGAACTGAGCCAGTTCTTTGATTTTGGACTTCTCAGCCTTTAAAACTGTGAGGAATGAATTTCTGTTGTTTAAACCACCCAATCTATGGTATTTTTGTTTTGGCAGCGTGAGCTGACAGATAATCCCACTAGCCAAAAGTAACAGCAATGCCCACCTTCATCTTCACTGCTGTCAGACTCGGGAAGTTTGACTCTTCTCCTCTTTCTCTTTGTGCTCACAGTTTCTTTCGTTTCGTCGTCAGACAGCTCCACTCGCTTCCCCCTGCGGCCATCCAGGAAAAAGGTAAGCGTGTTATGCAAAATAAAATTGTAAGTATTCATAACTTAATTCCAGAGGATATAAGAGTCAAAGCAGACTAATAAGGATTCTTTTTAAGGTTCACTGACCACAAATAAGTAGATTACTTCATGGGGTGACCAGAATAAAAATCTTCCCTAGCTCTCTGTGGATAGCTGGAAAGCACTGCCAGGTTACTGAGAAACTTTCTAAGTTCTCACTTCCCCTATGGCCTTTCAATAATTCAACAAGAATTAAATAAGCAGCTACTCCCTACATACACGAGGCTCTTTGCTAAACACGAGGGACGTAAACATCAAGAAAATACTGTTCTCAAGGAGCTTTGCCTGGAAAAACAGACAGAGACACTACTAACTATAATACAATGTGATAAATTTTACTGGACAAATGCTATGCGACATGAGTTTTACTTGAAAACTTTAAAAGCTAAGAAGTTCATCAGATGGAAAAGGGATACGAATTTTAAGGAGAAAAAGCAATATGAGCAAAGGCCTAGATATAAGACCTCGAGGTGATCCTAGTGACCACATTCGATCAGTCACAGCGCCTTCTCCACACACTGCACAAATCTTTTTTTTTTGCATTTGCTACATTTTTACCTTTCTTGAAATAATAAAGCATAATAAACTAAAAATGTTGCATATTTCCTCCATCTTCAACATTGAAATGGCTACACAAAAATTCACCTGTTTTGAGAAATGCACCCTGACGTGACACCTGCCACAATATAATCTAACAAAATTGTTTCAAATGAAGTTAAAAACAACTAAGAGCTACTAGAACCACCTTAACAGAAAAAAACAAATGAACCTTTTGGCCAACCAAATAATTTATCAAGGGCCTAATGTGTGTTAGAGACATAATTTTTATCTTCAAGTATTTTATTTCTTATGTAACTTTAACTATCAATCAGCTTATTCTACCTTAACCTACAAAAGCATAAATTAAACCCAAAACAGATAGGAGAAAATAATAAAGATAATAGCAAAAATCAATAGAGAAAATTAACAGAGCTAAAGCCATTATTTCTGGGGAAAAGAGTAATAAAATCATGAAGCCTTTGACAAGACTGATAAAAAAACAAAAAATATATATTACCAATATTAGGAATGAAAAACTGAAGGCATCTGTACTGGCAACTACAGATACTCAAAGAATAAGGCTATAATATGAACAACTTTAATCCAATAAACTCAACAACACAGATAAAACAAATTCCTTTAAAAACACAACCAAACTCACCCAAAAAGAACAAGAAAATGTGAAGAGCTCTAGTTAAAGAAATAAAATTTAAAAAAAAAAAAAAACAACCTTCCCACAAAGAAAACTCCAGGCTCAGATTCACTTGTGAATTTTATCAAACTTTTAATAAAGAAATAATATATATCATACATAAACAGAACACAGAGAAGGAGTAAATTTCTCCCAACTAATTTTAAGGAGTTAGCATAACTCTAATACTGAAATCTGATTAATGTTACTAGAAAAGAAAAGAACTGACTTCCAGTCAAGATGGAGGTGTAGGTAAATACACCTCACCTCCTTACACAACTATAGCAAAAATTACAACTAGACTACAAACAAATATCATTCATATTTATCAGAAAATCAAGCTGAATGGAAGTATGACAACTAAGGATTTAAAGATGCATCACAAAGTAAAGGAGATTTTATTACTTATTTTTAGAGGGAGGGGAGGGAGAAAGGGAGAGAAACATCAATGTGTGGTTGCCTCTCACATGCCCCTACTGGGGGACGTGGCCCACAACCCAGGCGTGTGCCCTGACTGGGAATTGAACCAGCAACCCTTTGATTGGCAGGCCAGCACTCAATCCACTGAGCCACACCAGCCAGGGCCACCAAGCCATTATTATATGAAATGTTAAAGGGAATTATGTAAGAAAAAGAAGATCAAAACTATGAACATTTAAATGCAATAAATTCACAATTATCAACAACTGAATCTAAAAAAAAAAATTCAGCAAACAAGCAGAACAGGAGCAGAATCATAGATATGGAGATCTTTTGGAGGGTGATCACATGGGAGGGGGAGGGGAAAATGAGGGGAAAGGTGCAGGGATTAAGAAGTACAAATTGGTAGATAAAAAATAGATAGGGGGATGTTAAGAACAGTATAGGAAATGGGGTAGCCAAACAACTTTATATGCATGACCCACGGACATGAACTAGGGCTGGGGGCACTGCTGGAGGGAATGGGGGTACTGGGCAGAGTGGGACAAAGGAGGGAAAATTGGGACAACTGTAATAGTATAATCAATAAAGTATAGTTTTTAAAAAAGAAAATAACTGACCCATAGTCTTTGTAAATATAGAAATAAAAAATCCTTACATTAACAAATAGAATATGGCAATATATAAAAAGAATAATATATAGCAACCAAGTGGGGGTTTATCCCAGAATTCAAGGTTGGTTTAACATTTGAAAACAAATCAATGTAATTTGCTACCTTAACCGAAACACTGTGTAATCATTTCAGTAAATGCAGAAAAAGTATCTGCCAAAATTCAACACCTTCCTCCACCTGGTAAAAGGCATCTACTAAAAATACACAGTTAAGATTACACTGAGTGCTGAAATACTGGATGCATTCCTGGCAATAACCACCACCACCGAGTGCTGTACCCACGGTCTGGACACTTTAATCCATCCGCATCCCATGTTCCTAGGAGGTGAGCCCCGCTGGACAGAGCCCTGACCCTCCGAAACGTCAGCATTTTGTTGATGTGCTGCTGGTAGAGTATCCCCAGCCTCGCCACAGAAGTCCAGTATTTCTGGGCCTATCAGTGCTGACAGTGCCCTTTAGAATTTCTTTCAACAAACTCACTCCTACCAACTATGAGGTAGTGTCTCAAATTCCTGGATCCATTTTTAACAGCTTGTGTGCTTTTTATTTTCTTTTCTAATTACATTTTACCACTTGAAAAATAAACTCATTGATATAAAAAGAAAACAAAGAACTTTTTCTCTTAAATTTGACTGGAAAGAGCAACCCTTCATTTGCAATTTGAAGGGAAAAACAGACACACAATCAGGCACACTGATGCCATGTCCACAAATTTAAAATGAAGCAAAGGAGAAAAGACAATCAATTTAGATCAGTAGGGCCCCAAAAATGGACTTGGGGCTTTAAATGATGTAAAATGCAGACTCCAGTTCTGCTTCATTAGACCTGAGCTTCTCTCCTCACTCTGGTTCTGTAGCTGCATCCTAGAGGCACTGAGCAGGACTTAGCGCTCAGCTGAAAACTGCCCGCTGTCAATAAGCCCAAACAGACCTTCCCGAGCCCGAGCCCGGCAGAAACGCTCTTCCCCCACAAGTGACAAAATTTTCCTACCTTTTTTTCTCCTGCTGCATCTTAACAGGCTCTGCTCTTTTGCTGGATTTCTTCAGGCCTGTGGGGGCTGCCAGCTTTGGTTCAGTGACAGACAGTGGAGGTTGTTCCACAATTTTTTCTTCTTTCAGTGCTGGCTCTGAATCCAAATTGACTTTCAGTTTATCTACAAATAAAGTATAACAGAGGATGTATAATCCCATCGTGCAATATTCATCTATCATTACTCTGACAGTCTATTAAGTGCCAGGTAATGTTAGGAACAGGGACTTACGGGATTAAAAAAACAGTCCCTGCCTAACAGAGCTCATGGTCGAGTCAAAGAACATTTCTCCCCTCCCACCACCGCTAGGGCTATAACTGTTTCCATTTCTGCCTCCTGCTAATCCCCCCATAATGTCACAGCCCCCAGGGAAAATGATAGTAAAGGCAAGGCTTAGGAAAAAAACAAATACAACTTTATGTGGTAATACCATTCTTACTTGTTAGATGAAGAAACTAAGAGTAAGAATAATTAAAAGATGTTTCCCAGGAGTACACAGCTTACAAATAGTGACAGCATAAGTTTGTACTAAGACCTTATTTTCTATCTTTTTAAGTCTGGCTACTTTAATATCTACTACCTTAATGATATAATTGAAAGACTACTTTGGAATCAGAAAAGTTTGGTTCAAATCCTAATTCATTCATTCTTTTATCTAAAAGTTGGTCTTCTCTATAATAACCAGAGTAATATTTACAAGATTACTGTAAGGGTTAAAAGAGATCAGTATGTGAGGTTAAGTGACCTACCCAAGGTAACACTGGTGGGAGAAGAGCCAGGATATGAACCTACATGGGTTTAATTCCTCCAAGGCCTTCCCCTTTCCCTACACCACACTGGAAACACAGTAACTGCAGTGTAGCACAAGGGATGGAAACATTTAAGCAGAATGGGTCTTGCTATCTGAGGAATGACAGAAGAAATATATAGGAATTGTATGCTACACTCAGTGACAGTTTTTTTTTTCCCAAAGAAGTCACACAATACTCTTAGAAAGCTGTAAACAACACGAAGCTCTTCAATAAGTAGTTTTGGTTTTATGTCATAAAGTAGCTTAAACCATCTACTATACAGAAAACAATGATTGCTATCTTAGTTTTTGGCTGTTACACAGAGCTTGGTATAACAGTTTATAAATATAGCATATTATTTGAAAGAATAGATAATGGATAAAAAAGCATAACATACAATCTGTTTATGCTTTATGTTTCGAAAACTTAAATGGTAAGTCTCGGTGGATGAATCCGCCAGCCATACAGTGGTATGTGCTCTCCTACACTTCACTACTGCTGTTCTCAAGTATCAGTACTTTTCAAACTTTCCCACCAAACTGTACAAGAGAATAAACATGTATCTCCAAGGAGTCCAGGGGTCAGTGAGTAAGCCAAAGAAAGTTCTCTGAGGTGCAGGTATATCTTTTTTTTTTTTTTTAAAGATTTTATTTATTTATTTTCAGAGAGGGAAGGGAGGGAGAGAGAGAGAGAGAGAGAGAGAGAGAGAGAGAGAAACATCAATGTGCGGTTGCTGGGGGTTATGGCCTGCAACCCAGGCATGTACCCTGGCTAGGAATCGAACCTGGGACACTTTGGTTCCCAGCCCGAGCTCCATCCACTGAGCTACGCCAGCCAGGGCTATCTTTTTTTTTTTAATTAATTGATTTATTTTTAGACAAATGGGAAGGGAGGGAGAAAGAGAGAGAGAGAAACATCAATGTGTGGTTACCTCTCATGTGCCCCCAATTGGGGGCCTGGCCCACAACCCAGGCATGTGCCCTGACTAGGAATCAAACCAGCAACCCTTTGGTTCACAGGCTGGCACTCAAACCAGTGAGCCACACCAGCCAGGGCTGCAGGTGTATCTTTAAAGTTTATGCAAATTCTGCATTCTATTACATAACTTAACCATTTTGTTAGCATCTGTTTCAAAATTACATCATTAAGAGGAAAAAACCTCCAAATATTTCCTACCTGTCTCATGGGTTAAGGAAAGAGATGCTATTATATCAAGTCTATCAATTTCATAAAACTGATCTAAATTAAAATAGCAGTGTTCAAACAGATTCAGCAATCAGAGTTTTATTCTGTCTCGGTTTCACAGTATTTTGGGAACTCCAATTTATACATATATTAAACTACAATTGGCCAATTAACTGGTAAGAAGTAGTTTATTGCAACAACTTCAAGCAACCATTAAGGAAAATTTCATCACGTTTTCTCGTTACCCAAATGATCAAGTTACAATACTCGTATTATCTGACTAATTAAAACTTTCTCATTTTTATACTCAAGAAAATATGAAACCCCTCAAGCGAAGAAACATGATGACTTTAACTGTCACTAAATGCTGCAATTTTTTAACATAAAAAGCACTAAATTTTTTGTTATTGAGATATAATTCACACATCATAAAATTTACCCTGGTAAAGTGTTCAATTCAGTGGTTTTTATTTGTGTAACCAATACCAATATGTAATTGTAGGACATTTTCATCACTCCCAGCCCTTGATAAGCAATAATCTACTTTCTGTCTCTACAGATTTGCCTATTAGAGACATTTTTTATAAATAGAATCAAACAATATATGGCCTTTTGTTTTTGGCTTCTATTTCTCATGATGTTTCAAGGTTCATCCATGTTGTAGCATGTAGCAGTACTTTGTTCTTTTTGGACTAAATAACATTCCATTGTGTGGATACACCACCTTTGTTTATTCCATTCATCAGATGATGGACCTTTGGCTTGTTTCCACTTTTTAGCTATTCTAAATAATGCTGCTATGCACATTTGCATACATGTTTCAATTTCTTGAGTAGATACCTGGGAATGGGTGCCTCTAGATTTAACTTTTTGTAGTATTGCCACACTTTTTTTAAAGTCAGCATCTCATTTTACATTCCCCACAGCAATGTACGAGGGTTCAACTTCTCCACATCCTTGCCAACGCTTGTTATTGTCCAGCATTAGGCCGTAAATGGTTCCAGTGTCCACATCACCTCTCTTCATCTAACTCTCAAGTTTCATTTTCATTGCAATGATCTTGTCTTGTGTTAAATATAATAAAGATATTCATAATTCAAGTCTAAACATTTATCCTTGAAACAACATGTTAAATAATCAACTTTGTGAGCCATTCTTTTTATTAGGTAAATATTTAATTCTTTTATTTTACCCAGGTTTTCTTTCTCCGTCTGTTACATTCTATCATAACACCCTTTATTATCTGCCTAACATTACAATCATTAACTATTTCATTGTTTTTGTATTTGTTTCTCTGCCAGTAGAATATAAGGGACATGAGAGCAGGAACCCTGTTTACGTACATTTTCTCCATTAGCACCAACGCATAATAGTGCCTAGCACAGAGTAGGTGCTCAACAAATATTTGCTAAATAACATATGAATAAATGTGTGTACACTTCTGTAAAATTTGATTCTACCATCCATGTTCAGGCCTTCCTGAAGCAGCACCATCATTTGCCATTTGCTGGTTTTATTTTTTCTCTAATTAGCAAATATTCATAGCTTACATACTTTAAAAATAATAATTCAGCCCTGGCTGGCGTGGCTCAGTGGACTGAGTACTGGTCTGCGAACCAAAGGGTCACCAATTCAATTCCCAATCAGAGCACATGCCTGGGTTTCTGGCCAGGTTCCCAGTAGGGGGTGCACCAGAGGCAACTACACATTGATGTTTCTTTCCCTCTCTTTCTCTCTCCCTTCCCGGCTCTGTAAAAATAAATAAAATCTTTTAAAAAAATAATAATTCAAAATTTCACAGGATTTTAAGGTTACAAATGCATTTAAAAAACAACAACAACAAATATACATGTGAACCTCTTTGAAGTTGCCCAGTAACCATACAATCTGACTGGGTATAATGGAGCAGTACCAGCCACACAGGCCAGAGATATTAGCATGGTCTATTTTCACAGAAGCAGGGATCCCTCCTTGTTTACTGTACTTGCAAAAATACAATCATGCTTCCCAATAACCTGAAAGCATCAAATTTTCCATATACTTTCAGAACACAAAAATGTTCTGATAGCTTTTACGGCAAATAAAATCTATCGCTCTAATCCCTCCTCCAACCACCAATTTGACCATCACAGAAAAGCAGAATTCTAATTTTGCTTGCAAAGGCACATAATAAAATGCCTCCCCACAAAATCTTTATAAAACCGATGCTCCAAGAAAGTGTGCTATAATTATCCTGCAGCTCCTACATTCTCTCTGGGATTCTGCCACATACCCTCAAGGAATGAATGTTTACTCGATATGAGAAGTATGAAAATATGTGACTATTGGTTCCTTGCATACAAGAGAATTCTTATCTAAATTTCTTTTTTTAAATAAATGAGATATTTTTTAGATGGCCAGTGTTATCTGGGCACTTCTAATTCACACTGATGTCTAGTTCGTTACTATGAGTAACCTGTAAAAATAACTAAAGAAAGGCCCTGGCTGGTGTGGCTCAGTGGATTGATTGCTGGCCTGCAAACCAGAGGGTCGCCGGTTCCATTCCCACTCAGGACACATGCCTGGGTTGTGGGCCAGGTCCCCGGTGGGAGGCGTGCAAGGGGCAACCACACATTGATGTTTCTCTCCCTCTCTTTCTCCTCCCTTCTCCTTTCTCTAAGAAATAAAGAAATAAAATATTAAAAAGGAAGGAAGGAAGGAAGGAAGGAAGGAAGGAAGGAAGGAAGGAAGGAAGGAAGGAAGGAAGGCAAAGCTTTGTTCCTTGCAGCCCCTTGGAAGACAAGAATAATAATGACCACAGCAGGCAAACTGACCTCAGCATCCAAGATATTAACTTCAACACTGTGCTGCTGAACCAGGCAGCCTCCCTTTTGTTCTAATCCCCATTTTCAAGAGCTCAATGAAACAAATATTCAATTCTCTTTTCAAGGCAGGAGGTAAAAATAGGAATAGTAAACTACACTCCAAGGGATCTAAGCTGAACCCAGCTCACCCATAAATCCACTGTTCTGATTGGGTCCTTTCACCAATATATTGATAATTTATGATGGGATTAAGGAGTGCTACATAGTAGTGTCCTAGATTGTTAAAATGAGAGGAAGTGACTTTCACTTCATATATGTAATAAGTTATTATAATAACATTTATGCATTAATAGTCAAAAGAAGGTGAAAACATGCTTACTCATAGCAGCTTTTCCAAAAAAATTGTTCATCACATTCCCTTTCGCTGGTACTTTGTTACCTGCTAAAGATGCCTAAAAGCATAAAAAAGAAAACACACAAGTTTTTTCTTAGTGTTTAGGCTGCTCTTCAAGTAGCAATTTCAAAAAACATCTCTTTAACAGCAGAGCACACTGTCATACCGGCTCGGTCTCTATGTAATCACGCCAAAACGTGTGTGCGTTAGGTGTAAGAACAAATCCAAACCCACCGGTATCAGATGTTAATCTCCAAAGCTTAGATTCTCACAGTTCTTATAAAATTATTATCCATGAATATGTCTAAACTTTTCTTGAGTATATTTAAAAGCTACTTAGTTTTACAAAATTAAAATAGATTAGAGGCAGTACGATACACGATGGGGAAAAACATCCAAAACATTACATTTATAATCATCAAAAGTAAATTTGAATGATGGTTCCACCACTTAATAGCTCAAGGCTTGGTGAGAAGCACTATCAAAAGAAAAAGGACTATTTCAGATGCGAGTATCAAGAATTAAAGCATCCAGCTATAGTATAAAAATTAGAACTAAATATCAGAACTTTATGTACTTAAACTACTACCACTAGAACTATTAGTGCCTATCTAGTCACCCATTCTGAGCTGAAAGGCACATCTTTAAAGAAGACTTACATTTGTCACCTCTTTAACTTCTGTTTTGGTTTCTTTGTTGGTCTCTTGGGTTTTAGAAGCAGCTTTAGAGGCAAACATTCCCATAATTCCTTTAGGTTGGTGGGAAATCTGTTTGGAGCTAGGTGGGCCATATCCATTGGTGGTCAACTCATTACTGGCTTGTGCCTCACTTGACACCTGAAGATTCGACTGCTCCAACTTTTCAGAAGATGAGGTTTCGGCAGAAGCTCTAGGGACCGCAGCGGCACACTGTATGGCACTAAACCTAAGGACAGAAATGTTACACTGATGTCAATATCGAACCTTATTTTCAAACTCTTGCTTCTCCAATATAATACTTTCTAAGTCTAATACTATAAAAGAAGAAAATTGTAGAACTAGAACACATTTCAGAAATTATTTTGTGCAAAATTCTCATTCAGATAAACAAGTATTTGAGAGAAGTCAGGGACTTGTCCTAGGTTATATATCTATCAATGGTTAGTAACAGAAGTAGGACTGAAAATCAAAACTAGGATATGGACTCTACCATACCATACTGAATATTCTTGTTTTGAAAAAAGCATCTTAATTCTAAACAGGAAGAAGACACCAAACAATAATAAAGATTAGTCATTTCACCATACTTGGGAAACCAAATGGTTATCCTCCTGTTTTTAAAGGCCTTCATCTTATAGGGCTAGATAGGCAATAAATATTGACTGAATCAAAATTAAGAGCTTTAAATATTAACAAATTTCCTGGCAACTCTCCTGGCCAGAGTGGATCACGGTTTAACACTTGGAAGAAGCTGGGAACACAGCCCCCAGCCCCTACCATCTGTGGTCCTCAACAGTCGTTTGTTCCTGACTTCTAATGATACCAACGAGCAGCACCAGAAAGTACAGCCAAAGCCATGTGAAGGAATTTGGAACTGTATGCATGGGTGTTAAAGGGAACATTCATTGTAGATACACCAGTTCCACACAAATCCACAGAAGAATCTTCTACACTATGAACAGACACCCGATCTAGCTTTCTCAAACGACTCTATTTAAAGCAAAGTTCCCAACTTTTCCTGACAAAGAACATTTCCTTCCTCCCAGTCTTTTGCTCATTGGGGGTAGGTAAGAGCTCCTTGAAGGAACTCTACATATTTTAGATACCCAATATAAGACCTGGCATATAAGGGCATCAGGAGATATGTATTAAAAGAATGATTGTTTAAACCACTGCGAAAGGCTTCTGGCTCTCCCATCCTCAATGTATCCCCTCCACTTGAGGTGGGAGACGATGGAGATTAAGAAACTCTGCAGTGAAAGCAATTACCTTAATGATCACCTAGGCACAACTTCAAAATTGGCTGCTAGAATAAATGGCCTGAGGGAAAAAATCCCTGATAAATCATTTAATTTCAAAAGTTACCTCAGACTGAACAGCCCCAAAGCTAGAATTTACAGCTCCCAAAAACTTTCCACTGATTTATTGTGGTCCACACTAGAAAACCCTACATTAACACAAATTCTTTGCGCGTCAGAATTAGGAACAGACGGAAATCGTTTCCTTGCACCCACCACTCTACCTCTCCGGTCTTGCGGCCCTTCCACGTACAGGGAGAGAGCAATGTTTTGTTTCATTGTCAACATCTGAGGCTGGCCCCACGACAGCTCTTTCCCCACTTGGTCTACATTCCACACCTTAGGGTCAGGACCAGGAATTGGCAGCGAGGAAGAGACCACGCTAGGCTGGGAACGTGTCCGAAGAGAGAAGAATCTGCTCAATCCTAAAATTTCAACTTTCTTCCTGTCACAGCACTTCTTAAAAACACATGAAACAATGAGTCAGATCTCCGTTGGCCCATAATTCTCAGGACCAAATACAAACTTCTTTACTGGAGAGAAATTCTTCACATTTTTACTGCAGCTACTTTAAGTATTTAAGTAAAGTTTCATGAAAGTGTGTCCTATTACCACATTTCTACTCGCCAAATTTATTTGAGAGGTCCCTGTGTAACTTTTATTTTGAACCTTTGTGTCACTTTTATTCTTATTTGCTTACTTGCTAGATACAACAGAAGAAAAAATGTTTAGAGCTCAACATATCATGACTAGATTTTAATAGACTATTTTTGAAATATAATGACATAATTTACATAAATGTATCAGTATTGTTTCCTATAATCTTTCTGTAAGAAACCAGACCTATAAATTATTACTCTTTAGCTATATAATATTCATTTAACAAATATCTGTATGTTTATTACACTCAAGGTTTTAAGCTAAAGAAAAAAGAACATAATGTTTAACTTTAGTTCATTCAATTATTTACTGAATGTTTACCATCTGCCAGGGATCATTATGGGTATAGAGTGTTAACAAAACAGACATGATCCCTATTTTCATGGAAATTACAGACACTGTTTGGAAATTCCGTACCTATGTGCCCTGTTAGTTATCTCATCTCCCCAGTATTTCCAACCATTTCCTCTTTATTGCTCTTTCCTAACAATACAAGTTCAAGCACTCTCGACTTACAAAACGTATGCATTTTGCCTTCAGTCTCAATCCTCCTTAGCTAGCTCCCTCTTTTTTCTTCTATTTATAGTCATATTTCCTGGAAAGAGTTATCCAACTAGAATCTGATCACTCCATTGAAAATGCTTTCACCAAGACCATCACTAAATCCAATGGACACTTCAGTACTTAGCTTCTCAGTCCCTCCTTCTTGAAACTTTCCTTAGCTTTTAGAACTCCACACACTCACGATTTTCCTCTTACCTCTGGCTGCTCCCTCTTGGGCCCCTATTCTTCTGCCCATCCTTTTAAAATGGTTATAACTTAAATAGTGCTTACTATGTGCCAAGCACGGTTCTAAGCACTTTATATACATTAATTCATTTAATGCTCTATAGCCCTGTGAAATTGTTACTGTTGTCAACTTCATTCTACTGATGAGGAAACTGAAGCACAGAGAGGTTAATTTGCCCAAGGATACACAGACAGTAATTATGGCCCAGAATTTTACTTTCTGTTTGTTTTTTTTTAAGATTTTATTTATTTATTTTTAGAGAGAGGGGAATAGAGGGAGAAAGAGAGGGAGAGAAACAATGTGTAGTTACCTCTCACACACACCCCTATTGGGGACCTGGAACACAACCCAAGTATGTGCCCTGACTGGGAATTGAACTAGCAACCGTTTGGTTCACAGGCCGGCGCCCCACACCAACCAGGGCTGCATACGTCCTTCTTTTATTCCAGGCATTCCCTCTGTATGATTATGTCTACCCAATTAATTACCTGTTTTCTCTGATTCCAAAATCTCTATCTTCATCCCACATAATCAGAGTATTAAGCAGATACTGGGCCATATTCACTCTAGAGTGTGGCAGGTTGTAGGTACACATGAGATCTTTATTGAATTAATTCAAGTTACCTTGCTTAGTATCTGTTCAAGTAGTAGGCACTCAACATGTATCCGGGGAACTGACCTGAACCCTCAATACAACCTCAAAAAGTAGGCATTATTATATCTAATTTAAAGATGAAGAAACCAAATCTCAAAGAGTGTGAGTAATTTGTCCAAATCCATGGGGTATTAAGCAGCAAAACCACAACTCAAGTCCATGGCCATCAATACGAAAAACCACACGCATTCTAGTTCATCACTTCCCTGTGCTGGGAAGGATACCGAAGACAAACAATACCTAATTCTTGCTACAGAAAGCCAATTGCTTTCAGATGGAAGGCAGAAGGATATCAAATTAGAAGTAGTCTTTTGAAGGACGGCATCTGAACTGGTTTTTAAAGGATGGGCAGAATTTAGACAAGCAGAGACTGGGGTGAGAGAGTAACGAGGGGGCACGACAAACATTTCTCGTGGCAGGGACAGGATAAATACATGAGAAATAGATTTATGGGGAGTCCACTGGGGTTTTCAATATGGGTTGTGGCTGCTATTTTTCACCTTATGATGTACTAATAAAACCAGGCATGTGTCTTACTGCAAGATAAATGGGGTTTTACTAGACTTGGCACTCAGTCTTAAGAGGCAGCCACTGTGTAAACATCTTACAAAATCAATCCGTGAAGAAGCCCACAAGGAACATTAAGGAGCTCACTTGCTGCAGTTCTGCAAGTTGCTTTTAAGGATGTCATAGTCGGTGTTGAACAGAGGCCCACTGTCCTTCAGCATGGCTTTCTGGACGCTGTACACATGGACGCTGGCAGTCACGGCCAGCTTGGACTTCACTGCTGCAAGTCAACAGGAAAAGCAGTCTGTTAATACACAAGCTTCATACCATGTGGGGACTTGAACAAGAAACCCTTCTGCATGAAAACCATTTGCAATCTGTGGTGGTCCAAAAGCTCTAAAAGGCCAAATAGCCACATATAAGTATAACATCACCTCTTCTGTCTCCAATGGGGACATTATGACAGGGTAGGTGGCGGTGAGTCAGCTCTAAGTACAGCACCTGTGACGGTATCACTCATCCAGTGGACACTCGGTAAATATTAATGAATGATTGATGGTGACTATAATTTTTTTTCAGTCAGGGAAGATTCTTACACTCTGGTATATAACTGAGGAATAAGTAATTTTTATCTGAGAAGACTCACTTATGTAATTCAACTTTAGAGAAAGCAACTCTGTAACAAAATACTACTAACCAGATAAGCCCGCAGAGGAAAAACACATAAGAATATCAGAGGATCAGACTTTAGTTTCCATGAAGGAACAGACTGTGCCTAGCTTATTCCAAGTCTCCGTCTCCAGTGCCTAGCACGGAGCTTCACACAGAGTAAATACTCACTAGGTATCAACTGAATGAATGCATCTTGCTTTGCATACCAATGTGGGAATTCAGAAAGAAAAAAATGTAGACTCTACCACCCTGGATACATCAAAGTTAATCTGTAAGAAAATGACCCCAGAAAACAACTTGATAAAGTAAAACTGTATAGGTTTTGTCTGGAGACACATGTCCAACATCACAGGGACCCTGACTGTTACACAGTTCCTTTGAGTTCAGTTTTTAAAAAGTAGAACAGTAGCACAGTCTTGAAACAGGTGTACAAATTTAATTTAGAAATATTAAGTCTTTCTGACTTTAGAAAAGCATCCTTTAATCTTCTTCCTAGAAAAACTGTTATGGAACACAACACAACAGTCAGAGACTACTGTCTTTTTACAGTTGCTGAGGTGCTCCATATGGTATTCATAATAGTTTCTGCATGTCTGTCACGAGTTCTGAAATCCTGTGATAAAAGTGCTTTATAAATGTTAGCAGCTATTGACCTTAAAAATGGGAAGTTAGGCAGATGAAGTATCATATTTTAATGTTTCAGGAACTACCAATAAAAGGAATATACAGCTCTTTAGTTAAACAGCTAAATATATTTTATGCAGATGTTAGGAGCAGATTTTTTACTGTAACTACATTAATGCCATAAGAGGAAAAACTTGCTAGATTGCTAAAATACTTACCTTCCAATTTATCTTCTCTCACTACTGCAACCTTGTGGCACTGTAAGGAAATAACACTTCATTAATGTTCAAAACAGTGCAACTTGCAATTCTCTAGTTTCCTAGCCAATAATTGAATTGTATTTGGATATAAAATTAGAAACATTAAGTAGCCCTGAAAATATGTTATAGTTTAATAGTTACATTCATTTTTAACTTGCTTACATGAAAACTTCTCAATGAGGTTAAAGAAAATGATAAAGTATAGATATCAATACAATTTTTAAAAGACCCATAGTGCCACAGCTGGTGTGGCTCAGTGGATTGAATGCCAGCCTGCAAACCAAAGGGTCGCCAGTTCGATTCCCAGTCAAGGCACATGCCTGGGCTGCAGGCCAGGTCCCCAGTAGGGGGCGTGTGAGAAGCAACCACAACACACTGATGTTTTTCTCTCCTCTTTCTTTCTCTTCCCCTCACTCTAAAAATAAATAAATAAAATCTTTTCAAAATAAATAAGTAAATAAAAAGGCCCACAGCATCTCAAATCAGTATGAGGGAAAGAGGACTTTTTAATAGGTAATGTAATGAGAACTACTGTATAATCATATAGAATCTGATAAATATTGGATGTCTCACACCATAAAACAGAATAAATGCTTAATGGAACTGAGATCTAAATGTAAAGAATGAAACCATATGAACACTATTAGAAAATATGGGTGAATTATTAAAAAAAACTGACAAAATCTGAGAATGAGGAAGTTTCCTAACTGTAATTCAAAATTAAGAAATAATAGAAACCCATAAAAACTGCCAACTGTTAGATGACAAATAAATAAATAAATAATAAAACTTTAACCAAAGTACAAAGACAAATGATAAAGTGGAAAAAATACCTGCAAGTTATCACAAAGAGTTAATAGACAGCTTCTAAAATAGAGAAAACAAAAACTAGCAATCCTTCAGAAAAATGAGCAAGCCCTGGCTGGTGTGGCTCAGTGGACTGAGCGCTGGCCTGCAAACCAAAAGGCCACTGGTTCGATTCCCAGTCAGGGCACATGCCTGGGTTGCAGGCCAGGTCCCCTGTGGTGGGGTGCACAAGAAACAACCACACTGATGTTTCTCTCCCTCTCTTTCTCCATCCCTTTCCCTCTCTAAAAATAAATAAAATCTTTTTAAAAAATGAGCAAGACATATGACCAGATAGTTCACAGAAAAAAAAGAAACGCAAATAACCCTGAAACATAAGACAAGGGCTGTGTAGAAATGCACTCACATACATTGCTGCTGGAAACGAACAATGGAGAGGTATCTGGCAATAACCAACGAAGTATATAAACACCCTAATTCTAGGAATGTAACCTTAAAACCCACTGGCAAAAATATACAGAACACACATACATTAAGCTATTCACTGCAGCACTATTTGTAATAGCCAAAGATTATAAATAATAAGTAACTACCAATAGAGAACTGCTGAATAAACTAAGGTATATGTATTAATGTAGGACCACGTGGCTATAAAAAAAGAGAATGTAGACTATTTCTATAACTACTATGGAGTGATGCTCAGTAAAAAAAAGCAAAGTCCAGATAGGATGTGATATATGAAAACTTTTATCTAAGAAAGAGGTATAATATGAATATATATTTGCTTCTATTAAAAAATATATATAACAAAAACAATGGAAGGAGAACACAAAATCAATAAAAAGAGTTACCTGTAAAGGAAAGGGGGAACCTAAAAGTTCAAAGAGGGAAAAAGAATGGAATTTAACTAGTTGGTGGTTTACCTATGGAGAGGAATTATTTCAAGTGATTCTAAAACACAGGTTGACTGTGCATCCCTAGCAGGATACATCCTACAGACCAAAACAACGCAAAGGAGTCAAACTATTTTCAGTAATGATATTATTAGTAAAAATAGTGATTTTGCTTTTCTAAATCTCACATATTTGGCTAAAGCAAATACATATTTATGTTAATGTAGGAACCACCAAAATTCATATCGTAAGAGAAAAGAGCAATATAAAATCAAATAACTTTTTAAAAAAATGTAATTTTAAGTCTGAACTAGAGATGTTAGTGTGTTTTCATAATGTGTTTTCTCTTAAAAAAACAAAACAGGCATTCTTAAAAATGTCATCTGCAAAGCTATACAATAAAAATTACAGAGCTTATAAGAAAAAGGGCATTAGGAACTAACCACTCAAGCCTATGCGACTTTGTAATAAGAGCCCTAAAAATAATAATTGGTACCCTTAGGAGAAAATCTGGACAACCCAGAGAGTTTATATGCTGAGAGAACCCAGAGAGTTTGGTGTGGTTATATGCTGCCTCCGGGGATGTTGAAAATGCATAAACAACTCAGTGAAATGCCAGCTTGAAGATGCGAAAATAATGCACACCAGAGCAGAGCTGCAATTCAGTGGGTTCCTGTTAAAAGTTTAGTACCCACAAGCCCAGAACCTGGCTGAGGGTAAGCCCCTTGAGTTTTTCAGCAGTTTAGGAAAAAGGAAAGATATGGCTAGTTAAGGAGAGGCAGTTCTTCCTTATAGAACAATTTCAGCCAATAATATGCAGAAAGAATGACAGAAGTAGAACATGACCATTTTTTAACTCCTTGCAAATTAATGATCTAGGCAATAATAAAATAAAAGTCAATCTCAGCTAAAACCATTAGATGAAAAAAAGCTAATGGGGAACTTCATGAAGGATGGGTCAGGCTGACAACCTCTTAACAAAACAAAAAGAATCAGCCAAATGTCCCCTTGGAATTCTCAAATCATTCTTTAAAGCAGCAGAACACACAGATCATTCTCAAAGATAGACCACAAGATAGGACACTAAAGAATTCTTAACAAAATCAAGAAAATTGAAATCATATCAAGCATTTTCTCAGATCACAAGGACATGACACTATAAATCAACCTCAGTAAAAAACTCAAAATCATTCAGATACATGGAGACTAAATAGCAGGTTATTAAATATTGAATGGGTCATCAATGAGAACAAGGAAGAAGTAAAATGGACCTGAAAACAAATGCAGATGAACACACAACACAAAACCTACAGGACAGAGCGAAAGCAGTCCTGAGAGGGAAGTTCATAGCGTTACGAGCTTACCTAAAGAAGACAGAAAAATCTCAAACAACCTAACCCTATACTCCAGAGAACTAGAAAAACAACAGCAAGAGAGTAGAAGGAAATAATCAAGATCAGAGTGGAAATAAATGACACAGAGACTAAAAAATCTAAAAGATCAATGAATCCAGAAGCTGGTTCTTTGAAAAGATAAAACAAAATTCATGAAGCTTTACCCAGACTCATCAAAAAAAACCTGAGAACCCAAATTAATAAAATCTAAAATTAAAGAGGAAAAATAACAATGGATACCAAAGAAATACAACGGATTGTAAGAAAGTACTATGAACAAATATATGCCAAGAAATTAGACAACTGAGTGAAGTGGATAAATTTCTAGAATCATACAATCTCCCAAGACTGACTCAGGGAGAAGCAGAACACCTGAATAAACCAACAACAACTAATGAAATTGAAGCAGTAAACAAAAAACTCCCAGCAAACAAAAGTCCTGGACCAGAAGGCTTCACAGGCAAATTTTACCAAACATTTAAAGAAAAACTAACACTTATCCTTCTCAAAATATTCCAAAAAATTCAAGAGGGAAAGCTTCCAAACTCTTTTTTACTAGGCCAGTATTCCAAAACCAGATAAAGACACATCAAAGAAAGAAAACTTTAAGTCAATATCTCTGATGAATAATGATGCTAAAATCCTCAACAAAATACTTGCAACTAGGACCCAGCAATACATTAAAAAAAGATCACACACCATAATCAAGTGGGAGTCATCCCTGGGATGCAAGGTTGGTACAATATTTGCAAATCACTTATGTAATACATCACATAAACAAAATGAAAAATATCATATGATCATCAATAGAGGCAGAAAAAGCATTTGATAAGGTACAGCACCCATTTATGATAAAAACTCTCAGCAAAGTGGGAATAGAGGGAGAATTCCTCAACATAACAAAGGCCATGTATGAGAAACCTACAGCCAACATCATACTCAATGGGCAAAAACTAAAAGCATTCCCCCTAAGATCAGGAAGAAGACAAGGGTGTCCACTTTCACCACTCTTATTCAACATAGTACTGGCAGTCCTAGCCACAGTGATCAGGCAAGAAGAAATAAAAGGCATCAAATTGGAAAGAAATAAAATTGTCATTTGCAAGTGACATGATATTGTACATAGAAAACCCTATAGACTGCACCAAAAAACTACTAATAGAATAAATGAATTCATTTACCTAATAAATGAATTTGGCAAAGTAGCAGGCCACAAAATCAATACTCAGAAGTCAAAGGCATTTCTATATGCCAATAATGAATTATCTGAAAGAGAAACTAAGAAAACAATCCCATTTACTATTGCAACAACAACCAAAAAAATGAGGTACCTAGGACTAAATTTAAACAAGGAGATAAAAGGCCTATATTCGGAAAACTAAGGACACTGAAGAAAGAAACTGAGGAATATACAAGTAAGCAGAAGAGTACACTGTGTTGATGGACTGAAAGAATTAACATCGTTAAAATGTCCATACTACCCAAAGCAATCTACAGATTCAATGCAATTCCTATTAAAATATCAATGGCATATTTCAAAGATCTAGAACAAATATTCAAAAAATATATATGGAGTAAAAAAAGACTAGAATAGCCTCAGAAATCTTGAGAAAGAAGAACAAAGTAGGAGGGATCACAATACCTGACATCAAACTATACTACAAGCCCACTGTAATCAGAACAGTCTGGTACTGGCATAGGAAGAGACACATACAACAATGGAACAGAATAGACAGCCCAAAAATAAATCCACATCTTTATGGTCATTTAATATTTGACAAAGGAAGAAGAGCATACAATGGAGTAAAGACAGTCTCTTCAATAACAGGTGTTGAGAGAACTGGACTAGTACTTGCAAAAAAAAATGAAACTAGACCACCAACTTACACTATACACTAGAGTTAACTCAAAATGGATAAAAATTAAATGTAAGTTGTGACGCCATAAAAATTCTAGAGGAAAAACATAGGCAGTAAAATTTCAGATATCTTATGTAGCAGTATGTTTGCAGATGTATCTCCTAGGGCAAAGGAAACACAAGAAAAAATAAACAAATGGGACTACAATGAATTAAAAAACTTCAGAATAACTAAAGAAACCAGCAGCAAAATGAAAAAGGAACCCACTGTATGGGAGAACATATTTGCCAGTGATACATCAGACAAGGGTTTAATCTCCAAAATATATAAAGAACTCATGGGATTCAACAGCAGAAAGACAGACAAACCAATATAAAAATGGGCAAAGGCCCTGGCTGGGGTGGCTCACTGGATTGAGCACAGGCCTGTGAACCATGGGGTCACCATTTCAATTCCCTGTCAGGGCACATGCCTGGGTTGTGAGCCAGGTCCCCAGTGGGAGGCACACAAGAGGCAGCCACACAATGATGTTTCTCTCCCCCCCCCCTTTCTCCCTCCCTTCCCCACTCTCTAAAAATAAATAGATAAAATCTTAAAAAAAATGGGCCAAGGATCTGACTAGACACTTCTCCAAAGAGGACATACAGGTGGCCCATGGACATATGAAAAAATGTTCAACATCACTAGCTATCAGAGAGATGCAAATGCAAATTAAAACCATAATGAGATACCACCTCACACCTTCCAAAATGGCTATCGTTAATAAATCAACAAACAAGGGCTGGTGAGAATGTGGAGAAAACGGAACCCAAGTGCACTGTTGGTGGGAATGCATGTTGGTGCAGCCACTGTGGAAAGGAGTATGGGAGATACCTCAAAAAATTAAAAATGAAACTGCCTCACAACCCAGCAATTCTACTTCTGGGAATTTATCTGAACAACCCAAAGTACTAATTCCAAAGAACATAAATAGCCCTATATTCATTGCAGCATTATTCACAATCACCAAGATACAGAAGCAGCCCCGGTGTCCATCAGGAGATGAGTGGATAAAACATCTATGGGACATTTACACAATGGAATACTATTTGGCCGTAAAAAAAGAAGGAATTCTTACCTTTTGTGACACCATGGATGGAAATGGAGACTATTATGCTAAGTGAAATAAGCCAGGCAATGAAAGACAAATACCATATGATCCACACTTATAACTGGAATGTAAGGAACAAAATAAACTAACGAGCAAAATAGAATCAGAGGCACAGAAACAAGGAACAGATGATAGCGCTAAGAGGGAAGGGGAGAGGGTGAGACTGGCAGAAAGAAGGTGAAGGGCTCAGACAAAACATCCATGTGCCACCCACGGACATCAACAATGGTACAGGGACTGACTGTGAGGAGCAGGCACAGAGGGAAGGGAGGCAAGAGTGGAAAAACTGGAACAAGTGTAATAGTACACACAATAAAAAATTTTTTTAAATAAAAGGGTCTAAAAAAAGAAAAGGGAAAAAACAAGTAATTCTTTAGAAGACTCTCTGGGATGAGATTAGACGGAGGCTTTTACTTTTGTCAAACATTTTTTTACAATAATCACGATCATTGGAAAAAATAAAAAGTATATTTCAAAACCCATTCAAAACCTATAATTTATCTCTTTCCTTTCTGGAAACACTTAAAGAAATTTAAAACAACAAAACCAGAAATTATGCTTAATATTCTGACTTTGCACAGGAGGGCTCTCACCTAGGAAAAAAGCACAGGTAAGCAACCACGCTCTGTCAGTCATTCCACAAGGCTCCACAGGCTGGCCCGTGAGGCAATTAGGAGGATGAGTACAGAGCTCCAAAATCCTCACAATCCCTTCAACCACAGCAATCCTACTCTCGATGTATTTTTTCTTATTAGGATTGTATTGTTTTAAATATTTTTTTATTTATTTTTAGAGAGAGGGGAAGGGAGGGAGAAAGAAAGGGAGAGAAACATCAATGTATGGTTGCCTTTCACATGCCCCCTACTGAGGACCTGGCCCACAATCCAGGCATGTGCCCTGACTGGGAATCGAACCTTCGACCTTTTAGTTCTCAGGCTGGCACTCAATCCACTGAGCTACATCAGCCAGGGTGTATATTAGGATTTTAATTAAGATTTCATTTGAAAGCATTTTGCTGCTTAAAAAAAGATGGGCAGAATATTAATGCCTTCTTAAATCTCAAAACAGAAGGCCTTCATAAGCAAGCCACAGCATGAAAGTTTTTAACTGACACCTCATTTTGAAAAATCATCTCCAAAAGTGCACTAAGGAACAGTCTGAATCCACTTTCCAGGGTTTATCCCCAAATCCCCCCGGATCGCAAGAACCATGCAAAGATTCCAAATTAAGAACCTCTGTCATATGGCTTAGAATAAAAATTTTCAACTGTATCTTAAAACATAAATTCTTAACCTTGGACCCTGCTCCAGAATTATGTGTGAACATTCAAAATTTTACAAATATATCAACATGAATTTTTCTTTCAGATTCTCAAAAAAAAAAAAAAAACAGCAACCAAAAAAAGAATAAAGCCCACTGTTTTAAAGAAACACAAGGACTCCCAGGTAAAGAATTGGCTACAATTAGACTGAAGGCACTGACTAAGGGAGGCAGGAGAAAGCGAGCAAGCCCTGGAAACAAAAGGAAAAAAGACATTCAGAGGCAAACTTCAGCAGTGTCTATTCAAGGGCCATACAAAGAGAAGATTCTAGTGTCGCATTTATTTCTAAAAGTAAATGAATCAGGTCTGCTTAATTCTGTGTTTCAGATATACAATGACATCTAATTCTACACTTGCAAATATCTTGATTATCACCTGGCTTGTCAAATAGCTTACCAACAAGGAAAGAAACTGATGGTCGGAGAATACAAGGATCTGATCCCCCTAGCAATTTTGTATCCCCTCGTAAATTATTCAATTGTCATTCTAGTTTTAAATCTCACACACTTGGGGCTCTATTGTTCTAAGACAAATCCAGACAGTATTTTGATAAATCAGGCTTCTGAATACATGAGTCTGAGGGAAAGTCAAACATAAGAGGAACACAGATACTGGCAGATCTCTGAGGAGCCCCGATTGCTGGGCTAAGTTCTGTTGGGCTGGTGGTTGTGGTAGGAGCAAAAGAACCTTCAAATCAGAGGTTTGGGGAAGTGAAAACAGAGAAAATGTGCCTTACTTCAGGGAGGAAGCCAGAGAGGAGGAAGTATCAAAGTTCCTAAGAATCAGTTTGGTGCAGAAAAATGAGTTATCGCAGCAGAGCTTCCCATGTCATGGGAGTAGAATGATCCTTCTGTCCTCAAGGGGGACAGGAAAGTAGCTAAGAGAAAGTCAGCAGACCTGAGAGAACACTGTGGTCAGGAAGATGGAAATGCAGCAGAGACCCAAGTTGAGGGGCGACCACATACCAGACCGGAAAAAATGCATGAAAATAAAGACGTTGCCAACCCATGCCTCTGCGCTTGCAGGTCCCTGCTGCCACCCACCTCCTTCGGTCCCTCAGACAGAAGCCTACCAAAATGAATGCTCAAATTAAAATCAACTTCAGTTAAAAAATAATAAAATTATACTTTCTGAACAGCTAAGTGTGTGACTTGACATTTGAACAGGATGGAAACGAACCACCATCTTCCTTAATATACCTTCAAGAGAAAGAGGAGTAATAGAAGCCATCTCCTAATGTCTTATTGTGTAGGAAAATTGCATAATAATGCTATAGTCTCTGCATCACAGCCAAGATATTGCCAAAACTTCTCAAGACTTTTAAGTTTATTCTAAAAATTCAAAATAATCATCTTTAGATAGCTTTAAAAAAAATCCTCACCCAAGGACATGCTTATTGATTTTTAGAGAGAGGGAAAAAGAGGGAAAGAGAGAGGGAGACACTCTGATAAGAGAGAGAAGCAACGACTAGCTGCCTCTCATACACACCCCAACCCAGGACCGAACCCACAAGCTAGGCATGTGCTCTGACTAGGAATTTAACCTGTATCCTTTTGGTGTATGGGACAATGCTTCAACCAACTAAGCCACATCGGCCAGGGCCAGGTAGCTTTTAAAACTTCCAAAATACTAAATCTTGTGTTCTCCCACCCCCATATTGTTATTTAACAGTTTATAGCTCAAACATATTTAAGCTCATTATAACATTCTGAGAACTTACCAAATGTTCATTCTGAACAAGACTGCCAGACACTAAGTAGGTGACATGCAGTTGGGCTCCCGAATTTTCCTTTCGCTTCCTTTCAACATAATCATACAGCATCCTGTTCCAAGCAAAAGGCACAAGCAAGTCATTAGTAAGAGTTTGTTACCTCGTCAACTCTTAATTTGTGACTTAAAAGATAGGTATATTAAATCTGGCAGAAAATTCTACAGAATTTTACTCAGTCTGTGGACACAGAGTTAAGTGAAGGCCAACTTACTGAGACGGCACAATGACCTGAGTCATAACTGAAATGAAAGAAACCTAGTAATAGGCCCAGAAGGAGTGAGCCTGCAAGAAAACAGTAACAGGCCATAAACACAACACTCAACCAAGAGTAAGTTCAGTCACTATGTGACCCTGGATAAGTTCATTTTTCTAGGTCCCTCGATATCCTGAAGTATCAAATGGGAGGGCTGCACCAGACCAATTAGTGATTCTTCAACCATGGGATTTCTGTGGCCATCTAGAACCAGCCCTCCACCCCCAAAACTGTAAGTAAAATGTATACGTGCTTTTTTGCGGAGCAACAGTTCAGGGTTTTTAATAGTTTCTCAAAAGGGGTCCAAAACATCAAGAACCACTAAGTACATGATCACAAACATCCATCTGGGCAGTTCATTTTACAGTCACTCAGACTCAGTGCTGTCTCAGAACCTACAGTGCAAGCAGCTCACCCGCAGCACCCAGTACTCCGAGTATCCGTTAACCTAGACCGCCAAACACTCGACATACAAATAATTTTGCTTAACGTCCCTAAACTCATTTTTATCCTTATGATCCAGCAAGTATCATAGGTTGGCTCCCCTCCATGACTCACAGATTAACAAAAACAGCAAAAGAGACATATCATTTGTATCTTTGATTTCAAGAAATATATACTGAGTCTATAACACGTCACACTTCTCTGCCAAGGAAAGCTAGAAACTCAAACTCAAAAATTCGAAGGGAAATCCAACCTATACTACTGACCACTCTTCTTGAAGCATCAGCTCTCTTAGCTTCCACGATCCCATGCCCCAATGTGTCTCCTGTTGCCGCCCTAACTGCCCCTCCGCACCCCCCTCCATTTCCTGCACAGACTTGATTACCTCCTCCTTTTCTATACCAGTTAGGGTTCTCTCTTTACCTATCTTTCCGCTGTACATATTAGAGTGACAAACCACCTGGGTTTGCCTGGACTTCAGAGATTTCCTGAGACATGGACTTCTGGTGCTACAGCCAACAGTCCTGGACAAACCAGATGGTCAGCCTCTTTCATTCATCCCCATGGCTCCACTTGCTCCTGACAACCACATCTGCCCAGGCCACCATGCCAGGAATCTGGGAATCATTATCCTTCACTTCTCCCTGTCCAGTGAGTTGCCAAATCTAGTCAGTCTCCCTCCCAAGTAATTCTTGACTCCATGCCCTTCAAATCTCTTGACTGGACTACTTCAGTTCCAAGTGTCAATTCTGCACATACCCCCACCCCTTCCTTATCCACAAGCCTGCCAGGGTAAAAGTGTTAAAAATGCAAATCAAGTCATTAAGTCAACAAAACTTTACTGAGTGGCTACTTTATGTTTTATGCCTTAAGGAGAGAGCAATGAACAAAGCAAAGTCCCTAACCTTTTAGAGCTTACAGTACAGAAGAGAGAGACAAATGAAAAACTACATATATGTTAAATGGTAGTAAATCTACAGGGCAGGGGTAAGAATAGAGTGTGCCTGAGAAATTTGGCTATTTTATATAAGGTGATTAGGGAAGGCCTCAGGAGCAGAGCCCTGCAGGAAGTGAGGAAGCCACCGCTGTGGCTTGGGGAATAATGTTCCAGACAGACAGAACAGCAAATGCAAAGGTCCTGAGGCAAGCATGTGGGCAAGGTATGAAGAACAGAAAGGAGGCAAATGTACTGACCCAGAATAAGGAAGAACAGTGGTGGCAGAGAGAGCCAAGTGCCAGACATTGGCTTTGCAGCCCTATGGAGAACCTGAAGCAAGTTAAGTCAGCAGAAGGTTGAGAGCAGAAATACCATGACCTCACCTTTTAGAAGGGTCCCTGACTGCTGTGTATAAAATATATTGCCGAGGTCACGGCAGGAAGCAGCGAGTCTGGTTAGGAGGCTACTGCAGTCATCTAGGCTAGAGATGATGGCGGCTCAGACCAGGGTGGTTGCAATGGAGGTAGTAAATTAGTGGATGACTTCTGGGAGAACTTAAAGGGAGAAATAACAGTATTTGCTGATGGACTGATTGTAGGGTATGAGAGAAAAAGGAGTTATGGATGACTAAACTAACCAACTCAAGGAATAAAGTCATTTACTGAGATGGGGAAAAGCAGGCGAAGTAGGTGTTGGGGGTAGCAATCAGGAGTTAGCTTTGGGGCATGTTAAGTCTGAGATGTCTATTAGTCACAAGTGATGGTGAAAAGGTAGTTGGATATTCTTGTCTGAAGTGTTATTCTTTATTCAAAAAATTTCAGTAGCACCCCAGGCCCTGAGGATCAACTCCAACTCCCTAGCAATGACGTGTAAGACCGCTCTCGTTACGATCCCCCCATCACTCACCATTCTCTCACACCCACACTAGCTGCATTCTTCCGAAACACTCTGCAGTTCCCCTTGCTCCTTCGTACGCCCCTCCTGCCTGGAATGCTCTGCTCAGACCTCATCCACCTAATTCCTCCTCCACACTGCAGCTCAATTACCACCTCCTGTGTAAAGCCTTTCCTATAACCACAGGCCAGCAGGGCACCCTGACTTCTAAGCTCTAACAGAGCCTATCCCGTATCTGTTATTATAGCACTTACCACTTCGTATTCTCACTACTTAGTTTATACACATGCCATCCCCACTAGACTATAAGCTCCCTAAGGATAAAAATGTGCCCTATTTAGCATTTTTTGTTGATTGCTCTATCTTGTTCTCTTTTAGTGTTTCCTTTCATGCAGTGATTGCATTAGGAAAGATGAGGTAACACAAATTCATGAACATTGTGGTTTACTTTTGCTAATTAGGACCATGCTCGTAAAAGAAATGATAGGCAGGTAGGTACCATGCCCAAGATGCTCTCAAGCTTGTGGGCTAAATCTTTTATCTACAACTAATATACCATCACAGACATCCTCTATGTACTTGTCTCCTTAAACAATCCCCAGTTCTTTTATATTAACCAGGAAGTCAAAACTGCACAAACTCTGAAAAAAAAAAAGTTTCTGCACATCTTTAAAGACTCTAAGACATATTTATCTGATTACACCATTTTACCAACAAAGTGTGCAAAACATTCTTAAACATAAATGACAACAAACATGAATTCTTGTAAGATGTACTTCCTACATACATGATTAACTATATCTTCTCCTTTTAATTCATTACTTTTCCCTCTTGATCAGTTCCACCCATAATTTTCCCTAGGACAAACACAGTGTATAAGGTATACAGCCTTTCCTAACCCAATTTAATTCCTTCACAACATTTTTACAACCTGAAATTATCTTGTATAAATTAATGATGGGGAGGACCCTGTCTATCAAGTTTGCTGTTCTATGACAGAGCCTAAAACAATGCTAAAAATATAGTAAAAATTATAGCAAAATATAGTAAGAACACTTCTTCAATGAATCCAAGCAAATCAATACCAATCATGCCCAGTCACTAACCTCAGGGCCATCAGGGATATTTTAAATCCTTCTACTATAAAAATAAGCCAGTGAGGGAGAAAGACAAATTATTTCAGTTGTATGTGGAATATAATGAACAAAATAAGCTAACAAACAAAACAGAAAGAGACTCATAGAGACAGAGAACAGACTGACAGCTGTTAGAGGGGAGGGAGGTTAGAAAGCTGGGTGAAAAAGGTGAAGGGATTAAGGAAAAAAAACACACCACACAAAACACTCAGACACTGACAACAGTATGGTGATTACCAGAGGGGCAGTGTGGTGGGGTGAGGCAGTGGAGGAGAAACGGGGGCTCAATGGTGACAGATATACAGATGGTGTATTGTGAAAGTATACACTCAAAATCTACATAATTTTATTAACTAATGTCACTCAAATAAATTCAATAAAAACTTAAAAATAAAATAAAATCAGAATATTTCAAATGTTAAACTAAATGAATAAATGCTTCCGCTACAGGTACAGTAAGAAACAGTGACAGGACACTCAAGCCTCGATTTTCTCATTTGTTAAGAGAGGCTGGTAACACCAGTGGAATGTTAAATACATTGTGTGAGATAAAAATGTGTGAAAATATCAACCACAAGTGCTTAGTATTTATTCAACAAGTATTTATGGGCACCTATTAGGAGCCAAGCATCAAAGATACAACAATTGTGGCACGCTGTGTCTTCCAAAAATGGCTGCGACAATGTCACCCATCCCACATACTCTTCCATGCCCACCCAGACAGAGGTGGACTCCATCCTCTCCCCTGGAATCTGGGAGGGCTAGTGATTCATTTTAACTGAAAAAACAAAGCAGACATGATACCGTTTGACTTTTCAGGCAACCAGCTTCTGCCTTGTGCTGGAGGACTAGATCTGAAGTCCTGAGCTGCTGTTTAAGAAGTCCGACTACCCAGAGACACCCTGCCCTGATGGAGCCCCGGCCAGAGACGGACCACGTGCAACATCTGGTCCACAGCCCAGCATCGACTGGCGGACGTGAACAAAGAAGCCTACAGATGACAGGGCTCCAGCCATTGAGGCTTCCCAGTTGAGGTCCAAGACTTCATGGAGCTGAGATAAGTTATTCCCACTGTGTGCCACCTAATTTAAAAACCATAATGTATTCTTACTGTGAGGACTGAGGCATTTTAACACGTTAACAAGCACTCAACATGCAGAAACCTTAAATACAGTGGTAATTATGGGTGTAAGAACTATAACTACAAGAAAATACAAAAGTGGCCCTGGCTGGTGTGGCTCAGTGGATTGAGTGCTGGCCTGCAAACCAAAGTTGCCAGTTCGATTCCCAGGCAGGGCACATCCCTGGGTTGTGGGCCAAGTCCCTGGTTGAGGGCATGCAAGAGGCAACCACACACTTCCCCTCTCTGTAAAAATAAATGAATAAAAAGAAAACACAAAAGTAAATCTTCTTGACTTTCAATTAAAGCCTTCCTAGATACTACATTAAAGAATAGAAGGAACAGAAGGAAAAAAAATAAATTGGACTTCAACAATAAAAACTTCTGTGCTTCAAAGGACACCATCAACAAAGTACGAAGACAGCCCACAAATGGGAGAAATTTTTTGCAAATCATATCTGATCAGGGTCTAGTGTCCAGAATACATAAAGAACTCTTACAATTCAGCAATGAAAAAGACAAATAATCCAATAAAGAAATGGGTAAAGGATTAGAATAAATATTTCTCCAGAGATATACAAATGGCTGATAAGCACATGAAAGATGATCAACACCATTAGTCATCAGGGAACTGCAAATCAAAACCACAGTGATACCACTTCACACCCACTGGGTTGGCTAAAATAAAAAGACAGATAATCAAGAGTTGAAAAGAATGTGGAGAAACTGAAACCCTCAAATATTGCTGGTGGGATTGTAAAATAGCATAGACACTTTGAAAACAGTATGTCAGTTCCTCAAAATGTTAAATACAGGTTTATCATCTGACCCAGAATTCCCAGGAGAACTGAGAATACATGTCTATACAGGAATGTTCATAGTAGTATTATTCATAACACCCAAATGTGGAAACAACCCAAATGTACATAAATGTTCATCAGCTGATGAATGGATAAACAAAATACGGTTTATCTATACATTCTGGGTTAAATTGTGTCCCCCAGAAAGATACATTGACCTCCTAGCCACCAGTCACACTCAGAATGTGACCTTACTTGGAAATGCGATCTTTGCACGTACTGTCAGGTAAGCTGAGGTTAAACTGAAGGAGGGTGGGCTCCTAATCCAGCATAACTGGTGTCCTTATAAAATGGCCATGTGAAGATTCAGACACACGAGGACAAATGTCACGGGACAACGAAGGCAGAGACTGGGGTCACACAACTGTAAGCGAAGGAATCCCCAAGACTGCTGGCAAACCAAAAGCTAGGGAGAGGCAAGAAAGGATTCTTCTCCACAGGTTTCAGAGAGTGTGGCCCTGCTGACACCTTGATTTCAGACTTCTGGCCTCCAGAATTGTGAGACATGCCATATTTCCATGACTTTTTTAAGCACCAAGTTTGTAGTACTTTGTCACATCAGCCCTGAGAAACTAGTAACACAATATAATGAAATAATTCAGCCATAAAAAGAAATGAAGTACAACAGATCCCCAAATAAGGTCATTTCATTATATTGATGAGATACTGTAAGAACTCTTGTTTATTATATCAGTTAGCTTATGGTAAAACTGATTTTGTTAGAAGCCATTTCAGCCCTGGCTGGTGTGGCTCAGTGGATTGAGCACTGGCCTGTGAATCAAAGGGTCGCTGGGAATTCCCAGTCAGGGCACACGTCTGGGTTGTGGGCCAGGTCCCAGTAGGGGCATGTGAGAGGCAACCACACATTGATGTTTCTCTCCCTCTTTCTCTGTTCCCCTCTCTAAAAACAATTAAATCTTTAAAAAAAAAAAAAAGAAGCCATTTCAGATGCTGTTAAGTGAGGACTGACTGCCCTGATACGTGCTACAACATGATTGAACCTTGAAAACATACTAAGTGAAAAAACCAGGCACACAAGTTTACATATTACATGATTCCATTTACATGAAATGGTCAGAATAAGCAAACCTATAGACACAGAATATATCAGTAGTTGCCTAGGGCTGGGGGAAGTGGGGGCAGGACTGCAGGAAAATGATGAGTGACAGCTAATGGATGCAGAGTCCCTTTTGGGGTAGATGAAAATGCTCTAAAATTAATTGTAGCTAAGGCTGTACAACTCTGGATGTAGTAAAAACCAATAAATTATATGCTTTCTGTGGGTGAATCATATGGTATGTGAATTCTATCTGAATAAAGTTTTTTTTAATACAAAAGAAATACATAAGATGGCAAATTAGGGAGGGGTGGGGATACCTAACATAGAGCATTAGGGGAGAGTTGTTCAAGAAGCATGTGAAACCTGAGCAGAAACCTGGAGGATGACGACAGCTGGGAAAGCACTCCAGGCAGAGGGGATGGGGCACACGTCCTAGGGTGAGAATGGGTCTGGCATATATGAGGAAGAGAAAGGCAAACATGGCTAGAGTGTAAGAGAGATGGAGAGTGGTGTGGGTTGAAGTTGGTAGTCAGGCTGGGGCAAGACAGTGTGTTAATTCTATAAAAATTACAGGTAATAAGGTAAGCTACAATAAAATCGCAGGTAGCCCTGGCTGGTGTAGCTCAGTGGACTGAACGCAGGCCTGCAAATCAAAGGGTTGCTGGTTCAATTCCCAGTCAGGGCACATGCGTGGGTTGTAGACCAGGTCCCCAGTAGGGGATGCTCAAGAGGCAACCAAACATTGATGTTTCTCTCCCTTTCTCCTTCCCTTCCCCTCTTTCTAAAAATAAATACATAAAATCTAAAAAAAAATCACAGGCAAATTTATTTCCTCTCCAATATGCACATTTAAACCCCAACAAGCTTATATAGTAATAATTACCTCATTTCATATTTAAACATCTGTAACCACAACAAATAATGACTCTTACAGACATCCATCCCCCAAAAGAGTTTAGGTCTTGGAGGCATAAACAGCCAGTCAAAATCAGACTCCTAGGACTATCAAAAAGCAACTCAAATAAAGCCAAATCAGCCCACTCTAGAGAATTTCTAAGACTCAGGGAACCTTCCTACCACTTAAAGAAAGTTTCTGTGACTCAAAGGAATAGGAAAAAAATCCGACCACCTTTAGGGATTAAATAAATTAAATGAGTATTTAACTCAATACATGTGTCCTCAGCCTGTTCACCAATTCTACCCCTTACGACAAAGACAACATCTGCACATTTGCAGGTCAGGAAATTTGAAGTTGATCCAAAAGCTTACTTTTTTCCTTTTCAGCAAGGAGAAGTGATATGGCAAAATTCAAGAAAGGCAATGCTCTGTACCATCTTAAACATTAGTTTCACTTGAAAGTTTCTCCCTTCTCTTATACCGTTATACAGTTTGTGTCAAACACCTGTTGACCTCATTATGGAGGTGCTTCAGGAGCACACAGAGATGGCCTAAGGAGCATGTGAGCATGTGTGAAACTGCAATGAAGATGTAAGATAACAGACGTATAAATCCGAGATATAACCAGAAATGGCTAGCCCATTCAATAAATCTGAAAGAACAAAGTGAGGTTAACCAAAGGGCAAGACTACAAGTTAACCCAGTAAACATATCACTACACATTTGTATACAAGTTTACCTATGTCCTAAATAATGGACAAAAGTCATAAAACTAGTATTCCTTCCCATTTCCCAGGAAAAAAAGTTCTGACCTAGAGGCTATCTATAAACCTAAAAACAAAACAAAACCACCAAAAAAATTCCGATGTGGTTAAAATGAGTAGTAAATTGGACTTACTGTTTGGCCTGGTTAACATGAACTCCTAGTGTGTAGCTCAGCCATTTGTATGTCACCTGCAGAAAGGAGGAATTTTTTAGACATTAGATGACTCCAGAGTGCAGGACAGTTCTAAGGGTTCCTAAAGAGTCCTGGTCCTAGATAATTGGGCATCATAAATTATAATAGATGCCACCCCAGTTTTACCAAGAACCAGCTATATGGGAAGGCAGGATTGAGATATTTATTTTACCAACACTAAAAAGTTTGTTTCACACACCATTGAATAAAAAAATCTGAAAAGGAAGGAAGGCTGACTGTGCATCAAAGAAAAAGTTCTCATTTTCCTCACACTCCTTGTTTTATTCAGGCCCTTTTTCTCACATTCTGTCCTTTTTGAGGGCCACAACTGAAAACTACCCCAAAATTCACCCAAAAGCTAGATTACTTTCAAGTGTATGACTCAGAAAAACTTCTAAGTTGCAGCCATACGAGCAAACATTAAAGGGCACAGGTGCTGCAGGGGTCCGGGAAAGAACGAGGCCCACGAGTACTGTATCACAGGTTAGATTGGGAACTCCTGGCCTCGAGACTAGACCCGCCTTCCATCCTTCCTTCAACTCTCCTGTCACTCTTCTCTCAAAGTCTTCCAATTAAAAATGCTGATTTTCCAATAATTGGTGTAGATTTCCAATAATTGCTGGAAATAATTTCCAGTAATTAGGCAACAGCCTAATTTCCAATAATTAGGCAACAGCAGTGTGATGTATAAAAAAATGTATATTGGCAAGAGACGAACCTAGGTTGGAAAACTGCTTGTCCCTTATCACAAATAAACAAGTTATTTGGCCCCTCTGTCTGCTTCAACTGCCTTTTCTACCGAACTCTGGATGTCAATGCAATAACGTAGGTCCAAAGTTCTCAGTAGGCATCATCACGATTTGCAAAGTGCACTCACTTTCATTGTCTTTCTTGATCTTGACTCCACCCCCGTGAGATGCACGTCAAGCCTGCATCAATGCCAAATTTCCAGTAAGAGGAAACTGGCTGCCGGGAGGTTAAACAGCTTGTCACTTAAGTCTGGTTACAATTTCCCCAACTGTAAATTTGGGGCTTTAAACGCCAACTACCTTATCAGACAGGTGTAGGGACGCCCTAGAAATATTATCAACCAATGACCCCTCCCTCCTAGTCTGTGCACAGTGCTCCGCACACTTAACCAAGGGACGAGGAATTGCGTGCGCACTGGAAGACCTCTCCCGCGAGTTCTCGCTCGCCTTGGGCTATGTGGGGTGGGGACCTGTCTCCCTCGGCCACTCCCCACGGGACCACAAGAAGGGTCAAGGACCTGCCGCCCTCGCCGGGCCTAGAACCCCAGTCCCACGCCCGCGTTCCCCAGTCCTAGCTCCTCACGATCTTGTTTTGGTCCATGACGAACTCGTCTATATTTTCCAGATAAATCTGGTCAGCCATGGTACTGCGGCGCTGGGCCCCGCAGCCTCAGATCTCCCCACGCCGCTACAACCGCAGCTCCCGCCGGCGGGAAACGTCTTTCCCCACAACCCAGTTCCCGGGTCGTTTCCCAAGGCAACGGAGGCGACGCACTACGGCGGCCGTTCGGTAGTCAAACTACTCTTAGAGTTGGTGTAGGCCGGGGTGGGCGGGGCTAGTGGGAGCGGGCGGAAGAGGAACTAGGAGAGCGGGCGTGGTCTGAACGGGCTGTCTGTGGAACCTTCGTTTGAAATCTCACCAGTGACACTTACTGCCTAACCCAGGGTGAAATACATGTCCAGGAGCCACAGTCTTTCCTCCTATAAATTGATAAAGTAACCCTTGCACTTTCATATATTTATTAAGCGCATATTTATCAAGTACCTATTCTATTCCAGGCACTTCTTAGGCACTGGGGACACAGCAGTGAACAATAAAGAAATAAACAAGTAATTTTAGTTGAGTGATGCCAACTGGGATAAAATGCTGCTTGTTATAATCCCTCAGAATTCAGAAGTTAGGGAAGGTTTTCCAGAGGGGATGGGAGAGGGACAGAACTGAATCCTGGTTTTGATATTTGTTGTTGTGACCCTAAATAAGTTATTTAACCACTGCAAGCCTATTTCCCTATCTATTGGGGTGGTCAAAAACACCATTTAGTTTGTTCCATAAAATAAAAGACACATTTTTTGTTTTCTCCAATAACTTTATTGATTTGGATATTTTGAGTCTGTCAGCTATCTCCCGCTATTGATGTCTAGTGAGTACAGGCCAGGGGTGCTGCTAAACATCTTCCAATGCATAAGACAGCCCCACACCAAAGAATTATTTGGCCAAAATGACAATACTACCAAGAAATTTCACAAACCACTTTTGACATGTTCTATCAGTCACAGCACCTTCTACATAAACTGCACAGATCATTTTTTTGCATTTCAGTTGCATTTTTACCTTCCTTGAAATAATAAAGCATAATATGTACATAATATGCAGCACAATGCTGCATATCTTCTCCCACCTACAATATTAAAATGGCTGCACAAAAATTCACCAATTTTGGTAAGTTTTTTTTATGCATACTGATAGGACAGTTGTGACAGTACAATCTAATAAAATTGTTTCAAATGAAGTTAAAAATAACTAAGCACTACTAGAGCAATCGTGTGGAAAAAACTAAATGAACTTTTTGGCCAACCCAATATGAGATGAAAATAATATTGCCCACTTCAAAGGTTTGTTGCAACATGTATTCATTCAGGATTTAGTTAGCAGAAGCCTAAGAGCCAGGCACTGTTGACACTGTTCTGGGCACTGGAGCACTGGGTGCACAGCTGCGGTCAATAACACAGAGAGCCTGTTCACAAACTTATATTCTTGTGAGGATATTTAAGTGAGGTATGGTAGTAGGTTAAAATAGGATAATGGTAGTAAATATAGAGAGAGCATAGTGGCTTGGCTTTTCCTTTTTAGGGTCAGCAAACCTGCTGATGATTTAGATGAATGGAATGTAGAAAAGATAGGAATCAAGAAAAATGCTGAGATTTGGAACTTAAATTGTAGGTAAATGATGATTCCTTTGACTACTAGTATGTGGAAGACTGAGAGAATATGTGAGAAAATCAAAGAATTCTATTTGCCCAGAGTTATAAATGGCATACAAAAAACCCTCACATCACGACTGCACACAATAAAAATTAGTAACGGTCAGCTATACATTGCTAAAACCAAGCACACTACATTGTCCTGGGTGCTTTGAGAATGAGATTTCATCTAATCCTCATAGCAACTCTGTGAATGGATTGTGTTTGCCCATATTTTAGAGACTATATTGCTGTGGCTTAAGAGAGGAGACATGGATTTTTTAGGTCACAAGATTAAGTGGTACTGCTGGGACTAGTACTCTTATTTCTTATCATTGCTCCATAGGAGTTGGATATAAGTCAAGATCACTAACTGACCAGAGACTTGATACTACTTCCCAACTAAATGGGAGCAGATAATACAATATAGAACGCCTGGCCCAACATGGTCCTAGATGTGCCAATATTAAAAGATTAAATAACTTTTAGAAGCCAGATTAGTAGTTACCCTTGGGAGGGTAGAAACTGGAAGGCTTCTGAGAACAGAATAGTCTTCTGGTTCTAGATCTGGCTGCTGGTCTCATGGTGTGTTGAGTCTGTGAAAATGACTTGAATGGTACACTTTTGACACATACAGTTTTCTATATGTATTTCACACCAACAAATAGTTTAAGAAAATTGATCATTTAAGGAATCTTAATTACTGTGCCAAGCATTTCCAAACCAGGAAAATTGAAAATAGATATAGGTGCAAGAAAGGATGGGTTTAATCTTATCCTCTTTAAAATTTTTTAAAATTATATTTTATTGATTATACTATTACAGTTTTCCTGATTTTTCCCCTTTGTGCCCCTCTACCTAGCACCCCATACTCCCTCAGGCAATCCCCACACCATTGCTCATGCCCATGGGTCATGTGTATAAATTCTTTGGCTGATCCATCTCCTATACTATACTTTACATCCCCATGGCTAGTCTGTAACTACCTATTGGTGTGTCTTAATACCCTCACTTCTTCATCCATTCCCCTACACTCCCCACCCATTTGACAACTGTGGGGGAGCTTTGCTGGAAGAGTCCCCCATCTGCCTCAGATGAGAATAAGTCTATCAAGACAGGATCTGCTTCCGGAGGAAGGGTGGCTGATCTCTCAAAAGGAGACGGGCCAAGAGCCTTTTCCTCAATGGGCTTTTATTGGGTTCAATTTCCACAAGAATACAGGTAAAGCTCATCAATCATTGTCAGGCAGTAAGGATCAAGCAATAGATAACATATAAAGAACTATGAGAGCTTATTCTGAGTCAGGGTCAGTTGGCTAAAGGGCCACACAGCTTTAGGAAACAAGCTCATTTCCTGCGGACCCTTATCAGAAAATTGAGGGCATTCTTAGCAAAGCAGGTTTCACAGGATTTTACGCATTCTTTTTTAGGCCTTATCGCCCCCAGGGAACCCTCCCTTTCCAGCACAGGGCTGCACCCTCCTCTGTCATTGTTTCAGTCTTAAGTCAGTCAGGGGAAGTAAGGCAGACAAGAGATTAGGAGACTTCCTGCAGACAGAATGAGTACTCAGGCTATGTCAAAGCCTAGGGGCGAGGGTCCATCACCCACTTTTTCTATAGCCCCCCAAGTCCTTCCCTCAGGGCCCCTTTGAGACCATGCCTGTCTTAGGTCATCCCTCCCTTGAGGAATCTTACCCATCATTGGCTAATCAGGCATAAGCTCTGGACCAAGAAGGGTGAAGTAAAAGGGGGCAGAAGCGGCACCCTTGCCAGGGAGATAAGCTTTGTCTCCTGAGTGGCTTATGGTCCCAAGGTCTCTCACTCAGCCTTAGCCATGGGGGGTTTACAGCTTCTGAAACCAGGCAGGGAGGTTCCCAACAGGCAACCATCAAAACACTCTCGTATGCACACTCCCGTCTCTATTCTTCTTGTTTGTTTAGTTTGTTTTTTTAGATTCAATTGTTGATAGATATGTATTGCCATTTTATTGTTCATAGTTTTGATCTTCTTTTTCTTAAATGAGTCCCTTTAACATTCCATATAAGAAGGGCTTGGTGATCATGAACTCCTTTAACTTGACCTTATCTGGGAAGCATTTAATCTACCCTTGAATTCTAAATGATAGCTTTGTTGGGTAAAGCAATCTTGGGTGTAGGTCCCTGCTTTTCATGACTTTGAATATTTCTTGACAATCCCTTCTAGCCTGCAGAGTTTCTTTTGAGAAATCAGCTGACAGTCTTATGCGAGCTCTTCTGTAGGTAACTCTCTGCTTTTCTCTTGCTGCTTTTAAGATTCTCTCTTTATCTTTAACCTTTGGCATGTTAATTATGATGTGTCTTGGAGAGGGCCTATTTGCATCCATTTTGTTTGGGACTCTCTGTGCTTCCTGGACTTGCATGTCTCTTTCCTTCACCAAATTAGGGAAGTTTTCTTTCATTATTTTTTCAAATAGATTTCCAATTTCTTGTTCTTTCTCTTCTCCTTCTGGCACCCCTATGATGAGAATGTTGAACACTTAAAGTTGCCCCAGAGGCTGCTTATACTATCCTCATTTTTTTTTTTTTTGGATTCTTCTTTCTCTTTGTTGTTCTGATTGGTTGTTTTTTGCTGCCTTATGTTCCAAATCATTGATTTGATTCTTGGCTTCATCCACTGTGTTGTTTCCCTGTAAATTATTCTTTATTTCAATTAGTGTATCCTTGATTTCTGAGTGGATCTTTTTTATGCTGCTGAGGTCCTCACTAAGTTCCTTGAGCATCCTTATAACCAGTGTTTTGAACTCTGCATCTGATAGATTGCTTATCTCCATTTCATTTAACTCTTTTTCTGGAGTTTTGATGTTTTCTTTCATTTGGGCCATGTTTCTTTGTCCCCTCGTTTTGGCAACCTCTCTGTGTTTGTTTCTATGTATTAGGTAGAATTGCTTTGATCCCATGGCTTAGTAGTGTGGGCTAATGTAGTAGGTGTCCTATAGGGCCCAGTGGCACAGCCTCCCCTTATCATGCAAGCTAGGTACTCAAGATGTGCCCTTTGTGTGGGCCGAGTACACCCTCCTGTTCTAGTTGGGCCTTGGTTGCTGTTGGCAAATCAATGGGAGGAATTTACCCAGGCCAGTCAGTGGCAAGGACTGTCTGTGACCACTGACCACGAGCCTCTGCCCTCCATGGAGGTTCAGCTGTTCAGGGGCAGGGTGGTGATGCTCTGATGTGGTCTGTAGCTGTCCACTGGGTGCACTGGCCCTGTGGTTTCCTGGGTGGTGCAGTCCAAGGTCATCCCCCACCTGTGTTTTGCCTGGGGCCAAACTGCTATAAAGTTATAAAAGCAATCTGAGATGGTTGCTACTTCTGCTGGGCTTGAAGATTCTCAGGAGAAGCCAAGCTGTGAGCCTAGGCTGGCTGCTGCTAGTGGTGGGCCTGGGGCTCACTGAGGCCAGCTGTTGCTTATTTGAGAGGATTTAGGAAGCTGTGCAGTAGGAGCCAAGACCAGCCATTCATACGTAAAAGAAGTTTGAGTGTGCCTATAAATTGGGTGGAACAGAGTCTCAGGAGATCTCCAAGGCTG